GCAGGAAGGAAACAGGGTTTAGGGGCCAACTCTGACGGGCCAGAGAGCAGGCAGTGGAGAAAGCCCCATGCAGTGTAACCGAAGCTTCTATCCTGGCTCTGGGACAGACGCGCCAGCACCCCCTCCAGGGAAATCCCTACCACTCTCTGTCTTTCCTGTAAACAGGGAGGGCAGTGCCGGCCACTGCACAGATGCATTCCCGGCAGTCACTTAGGAAAAGATACAGGACAATTTAAAACCATTAAATGTTACAGAAAAACTAAACAATGATCATGTAAAATGCCACGGCAAAAGAAAATATAGAGATACTGAAAATAGCAGAAGGGAGGCAGGGTGTCTTGTAAGTTCATATCCATTTCCCTAGGGCCCTGCCTTGTCTCAGGACTATCAGGTTTCTTTGTTTTGTTTATTTAATCCTACCACTGTCAGTAAAAAGCATCTTTCTCAAACAATCTTCTCTCATTTCCAAACTCTAGCTTGGCTTCCTGCTGCCTCCTTAATGTAACATTTTCTATTATGGTTACAAGACTGTCATTCCACAGTCCACTATCCCATGTGTGTTAGCTCATGTCAAGGACTAAGCCTTCTCCCTTGCATTGTATTCCCGGTAATACTAGGAGGGAATCTGCACACAATGAGCTCAAAGGTCTTCACTATAAGATGAAAGAAATGGGGGGTCGCCTTCACAGCCTAGCCCCGAGCAGGACCAGGGCTCGGAGGGTACTCCAAAGACAGGACTACAAATGCAAGGCAGTGCTTCAGGAAAAAGCGTATTAATCTGTAGAGCCAGGGACAGAGAAAACACCCCAGTAAGGGGTAAGGCCTCTGGATTATCAGGATGGTGGGGTCACCTTTCCTAAGCACAAAGAATTTTAAGTACAAGACACCCCTAAGCCCCCAAACACTGTAGGTGGTTTTTACAATCCTGTCCAGCAGGATGTGGGGCACCAACTATCTGGCTGGTTATCTGAGATTCTCCCAGAGAGGCCCTGTATGTTTATGCCATATTTCACTTACTTTTGAAAACCTATGTGAACATGAGGAAAACTGCCTTATTTCCACAGTAAAGTCTTCATCGTTTGTGTCGTCTTCTTCCTCAGTCTCCATATGATGATACTTCTCAGACCGAGCTGCAGAGAAATGTTTGGGAACAGTTCCAGTTACTCCAAATTTCAGCTTTTCATTCAGATATTTTAATTATGAGTTTCTTTATCAAAGCAACATTACATTTAGGGATTCAGACTGGAAGGTTCTATCAAAAGCAGAGATGATTTTCTACAAAGTCAAGGCCAAACAATTTTTTTTTATGTCAGATAATGCACTTACTATCAAAATAACTTGTGTCATCTTCGGATTCCAGTTGGGGAATAAATTCTGCCTTCTGTCTCAGCAAACTGTTCCAGTCTAAAGAACGGAAGAATCGATGCTGTTTGACTTCATAGGCACCACCTTGGGGCAGGAAGTGGAGGGGAAGGATGAGGGGAAAGTGTTAAACTCCAAGCAAATGTAAACATCAGCTTTTTAAGAAAAACAAAACAAAACAACATTTCCATCAACAGAGAAATAAAGAAGTCATGGAAATCTTACTTTTTCATTCTACAACCAATTCTCCCCCATACACAAATTTATGCATAATTTATCAGCAGAAGATCTGATTTGGTAATAGCAGTCGCTAAGGCACAGTTTCTCCTTTGTTAATTTTTCCACAACAGCCTCCATTTTTCAAAGGTTAATGATGCAGCCACTTAAAATCACATTATGCTAAACCTGGGGATGTGGACACACATTGACCCACAGCACACTTGCTCATTACAAACCCAAAGAAATTCTAACAAGGTGCAAAATGTTTTCACAGCAATATTTCCTCTGGAGGTAAAATCTTAAATATAATGGTTACCGTTCAATTTTATTGGATTGATCATTAACATAGGCAGGAGTCAGAGTCTGTGGATTACAAATTCTTCAGTAAGAAACTGGCAAATCTGTTTGACAGATTTATACAGCATGGGATGAAAACCACAATTCCTAAGTTTTAGGCCTCTTTTTGCCAAGTCATCATGATAGCACAAGTCAGTGAAACAATGTTTTTAATTTAGTTTACGGTTTTACGGAGTAATTTTGAAAGGCAAGCCCCATCAAAATATTTTACTTTAATCTATGTATAAGGTATATGTTATATAAAAGCATAGCGTGAGACTCAGGCCCCTGCCCTGTCTTGCTGATGAGGGAGATTAGGAAGAATCATTCCTGAAAAAACACAAGGCAGAGAAATTTCTCTCAAGACTAATACCAGGCTCTAACCAGCCTCCCTGCCAGAAGCCCTCCTAGGCGTGATGTAAATGCCTCTTCAATGCAGTTGTCACCCAGGCTTCTCATCCCGCCCTAAGGGGGTAGGAAAGACATAGGGTGAGAAGTGCAAGCTGAATGAAACAACATAGGCTCGGATCCTGGGGCAGGGGAGCTGCCTGTGTGGTTCAAAGATGTTTGACTCTGTCTCCTTCAGGGCCCTCGGAGCACAAGGTACTGGTGGGAGCTCCAAACCCAGCCTGGGCACACTAGTGATCTGAAAACAATGGGATAGAGAAAAAGGAGTCAAGTGGGAAAATCACCCCATTTGATTAGAATCTATATCCAGGATCCACCAAGCATTCTCCATGTTTACAGCACGACCCTTACGTCTGATGCTGATCCCAGTAGCAATAGTATTAGCAGCTGGGATGTGAGGGCTGACCTGGGCAAGTACTGGACCAGATGCTAGAGGCATCTTATTTCTTTTAATTAAATCACTGAAAGTTAAGCCCATGAAGTAGCCATTATCCACTGTATTTGGATGGGGAAACCAAGGACAGGCTATAGGCATGCTGGGCTGAAGTCACTCAGCTGAGGGAGGGTTAGAGAGGCTGAGTGGAGGTCTGTCTCAGAGCACCTAGGTCCATCCATGTGCCATCTGCCATGTGCCACAAAGGGGAAAGGCATGCTTTGGCTCAGAGCCTACCCTGCCATCTCTCCTGCATTGATCTGCAAATGGGTTCACAACTGCTAATCCTGGGGAACTGAGCTACAGAGCCAATTCCTAAGGCTATTCTCCCAGGACCTCTGCATAGTCTAACTCCAGTCTTCCATGCATCCTAGCTCTCATCTAGCCCAACCCATGTCCCCAAACACAGCTGCCAGTCATTTTCTTCTAGCGCTCTTATCTCGGAGAAGCAAAAAGAGCTCACAGTTATTTATCCAACTGTATCACTGTGCCAGTGGCACTTGCCCACAGAGTCAAACTTAGTGGCCCAACACACGCTACACTGCAATGACTTCTGCTGCTGTTTGTGGGCCACACCAAGTGACAGCTCTGATACTCTGAGGTCACTCAACTTTACCCGGAAAAGCACAGTTCTCTAGAGCCAACAGCTTAAACAGCACCTCCACACCAAATCCAGAGGGTCCAGTTTTTCGCTCCCTGCTAGCCAATCTTTGGGACTCAAGTTGGTGAGAGCATGTATGTTATCTCTGTGGACGATGACAAATGCAGGTCCTCCCCAAGGAGTCACAGCCCCCACTACTGATACAGTTCACAGTTCTTACCCTTTGGCCTTTGTGCTCCATGGAGAAGAGATTGCTTATCACTGGGTCCTGTTTCTTATGCGCTTTTGGAGAGATGGGGAACAAAAGAATGAAAGGGACACACTGGGGAAAAACTACCTCTGGGCTAAATTGATGGCGCAGGGTGGATGATGGCATTACAGGCCAAGTACAAATCACGTGAGACAGGAACTCATGTAAAAGGCGGCTCTCATTGTAAGAATTCACCAGGAAGGGAAGGGAAGCTGATAATTTCTTGACCTCCCATCATGTATAAGGTTAGTGTACTAGGTACCTTCATGAGCACACTTGCATTTAGTCCTTATGATAATCCTGTGAAGTATATAACACACCGGTTTTAGAAAACTGAGACTCAGGGCAACGAAAAAACTGCTCAAGACCAGCCAGCTAGTACATGGGTGGGAGTCACTCATACCTGAGCAGCAAGAAAATCCCATGTGCCAGGTTGCCACCTAATACTCTTAAAAGTTCAAAAGTGTAGTTCAAGTAGGACAAGTTCCCAAACTGCAAGTCACATTTGGCACTAATGTTCTCCCTTGAGTTTTTCTCTCTTTTCATGGAAGTTTCTTAAACATCCATTATGTTCTTCACACTCCTTTTCTCAGCCTTTCTAGTCTCTCGGGCAAATGTGCATTCGCACATTTTCACGGTGCATTATTTTGCCCGCTAAATATGCATTAAATCCAAAATGCTGTCACTGGAAGCAGCAGGCAGGCCTGTGGGATTCTCAGCCTCATTCTCTGGGCCCTACTGGGACCTGTCACATTGGACCTGCCTGTTTGGCAAGCACTTCCTGACAATGCTAAGAGCTTGGGCAGGGTCTTTCAAATGTCTCTTTTGAGCTTCTGCTAGATTTGTTTCTCAAACCGTCACACCCTGAAAAGACTAAAAGTAGCAGTCAAGGAGAAAAGCTGCAGAGATAACTTGCAGCATATAATACATAAACGTAGATATGCTGACCATCTTAATAGCCCTATCTCATGAAATCAAGAATCCAAGTATTCTTAGAGGAGGGAAATGGGCAGAATATTAAGTGGAAAAATTCTCCAGCTGATACAGCCACACTGAAGGGGGAAGGGAACTCTTTCGAAGGAGTGTTCTGATTCTAATATATTTTTAATCCTAACTTAGGGCAACCCTTCTCTGAGACAGCCAATAGGACATAGAAATAGATACTTGTATTGTTGCAGGACAATCTGAAAATGCCACAACTTCTCCTATTTGGCTCAAGTAAGTAAAAAAATCACTCCTCAAAACTCTGCACCATACAGTCTTGACACCAGTTCTTTGATGACTACTTGTATCTCTTGAACCATAAAGCAAATCTGACAGTAGACCACGGAGGGTGGGATATCAGGCTGCTAGTCACTCCAGAGCATAGGAAAACCTAACAGGGTGAGAAGAGACCTAAACTACTCAGTTTAGAGTTCAGTCAGTGCAAAGGTGAGAGCGCATGCCACCACCATTTCTGGATCTCATAGGTCCAAGGGGAAGCAGGAGATTACACATGCAGAAAAAACACCACCACCAGCAGCAGCCAGGTCACGCCTGGTCCTACGAGCCACAGTGGACGACGTCTTATGCTCCTAATAGTCCTGTGAGCTTGTACCACTCTAGTCTACAGATGTATAAATGAGGGCCAGAAAAGGAAAAACCTGCTACAGTCACACAGCTGAGATTATGCTCAGGCAATATGCCTTTGAGTCTGTGCCCATAACTGCCATTTATGTTGCCCCTCCTAGTTAAAGGCTCACATGGGAGCCTGGTAAGAGACCCAACTCAGAAAAGTTCTCCCAATTGTGCCCTGATTTTAATCCTTCTCTGATTCTTTAATGCAGAGTCTACAAGACTTTTCTGTAAAGAGCCAAACAGGGAATATTTTAAACTTCATGGGTAGTCTGTCACGACTGCTCAACTCTGCGACTGTAGCATGAAGGCAGCCACAGACAAAAGATGAATGAACAGCATTGCTGCATTTCAGTAAAACTTTATTTACAAAGTAAAGATTTGGCCCATGGGTTTTAATATATCATCATAAACTCTAGTGGCACAGCTTTCCGTGCCCAAGCAAGAAGAGCGCCCTCCAAGTGAGAGAAGGTGGAGAACAATAGAGGAGCTGTTGGCAAATAATTTTTGTCTTGGAAGAAATGGGGGAGAGAATTATTTCTTCAGTATTTTCTGATATTCCTATTGAAATGGAACAGCTCAGAGGAAACAACCCAATGAGTCAACAATTTTCCCTGATAAAAATTTTGGATACTATTACAGTGTGTGTGTGCATTTATATTCAATAATCAGCATCTCTAGAGAAATTCACATACTGGGGCACACTGAGACTCTATACTGGGACCTCTGTTGAGAATATAAGGAAGAACAGGCCAAGGAAGGGTAGAAACAAACAAACAAACAAAAACAGTAGCAGAAGAGTCAGGAAAAATAACCAGCAAGAAACAAATCTACTATCTCCTTAATCTTGAAAGTCAATGGTTTTTGATTCTCTGCTTCTTAGGCCGTAGTGGTGATCACCATTAGGGGACAGCCCGTGGTCCGACCCCAGGCACTCATTTCTAGTGATTAGTTCAAGTACTGATAATCTGTTCAAAGCCTGTTCACAGTAACATGCGGGGTCAAATCCTTCTGAGAACATATATTTTTAAAAGAACCTAAACAACAAAAAAAAGCTCCACATCTCTAATCTTGTTTCAATTTATTTAAGATGCATGCTTTTTGGGAGGGAAGAGTTACATGTGCTCTTGAGGTTTTCTTCCAGAGAACTTTTATTTGTTGAAACAAATTAAGAATAATTTCTGCGTTTCAAAAACAACAAAAAACAAAGACAACCAACCAACCAATCTTCCTTGTGTACTTACTGCTCTGAACCATGAAAAAAACCAAAATATTGTTATACTGTATTGAAGTCATGTTCTACACCAACAAGACAGATGTTTCCTTTACAAAAACACAAAACACCAACAAAAACCTCTGCGTGCTCTACACAGACATCATTTCTTGTACATTAGCAAAATTAAAACCTATGCGCTCTAACCTGTTCCGAGTCTCTCCAGGGGATTCTGCCTGAGAAGCAAGGTAATCAGATCCTGGGCATCGGGTGGTGGCGCCTCATCCTTTTCAGGCCAGTTAATCTCATCTAGAAGGAAGAAAAGTAGTTGACAACTTTATTGCTCAAATGGGGGCCCAGTTCCTAATGCAGGGACATAACAAGGAGTTCGTTAGAAATGCAGAATCTCAGGTTCCACCCAGACTGAATCAGAGTCTGCATTTTACCAAGATCTTCAGTTGATGCAGTATGAGAAGCACTGTTTCACACCACTTGAATAGCACAGCTTTCAACAATGCCTTTTTGATTCATTTTCCTTTGGCAGAACTGGCTCATAACAAATTGCTCCCTTTAGCTATTAAGAGGACTTAATGTAATGGAAGCTCTAAACACCTGCGTTTCATGTGGAACGTAAGATTTTCTCTCCTACTATCCTCAGCTGAGAGCTCGGCCACATCCAAACATTCTTCAGCTTCAAGAAGCAAAAAATAATTTTGTAAAAATAACCATTTTTATTGACAAAAGAAAGGTCAAAATGCTAAGCCTAAGGAAGGAAAAAAACCTCCAGAGTAATCATAGTAATGGAAGTATTTAAAATCTGTCATAAATATTAAATCCATAAACAGCTCAGATATTGCATAAAAGGGTTATACACTGCAGGCAACCCACAAATCTACTTTGTTAAAGTTTACAAATATGCCTGGCTTGCAAAGTCAGTGGTATAAAATAATGCTGTGATTAAAGGGCTCCTCACACCAAAATGAACTTCCCCCTATTTCCACTGTGGTGCTCAGGAAGCACAGTCCAGAGGGGACTGGAGGTGGGTGACAGGAGATGTCAGTGATGGCTCACAAACTTTGAGGAAAAGAGGCCTCTCTGAGTGAGGCTTGGGGAAATTTATAAAAACAGCAGGTAGGGTAGTAATGGAGCCTATTTAATTATCATTTAGTTTTGCCACAAGCCGCATAACAATAGGTAGGGTCAGCTTTCAGGTTAAGATCTAAAGGTTATTGAATTTTAAATGAAAGATGAACAGCTGTTACAGAAATAACATTACACCATAACAACTACCAATGAAATCATTAACAATCTGTGGATTAAATTTGCTTCCTTCCCATTCTCATTATTTATTATTTGGTAGACATTTGTTTTAGGGTTTATTACATTTTTGTTAATTTCTTCATTGTGCCATTAGCCATTCTTCCCATTTATGTAAATGTTACCCATATTAACCTCTTCTTCCCTGGTGCAACTTTCCTATCATGGAAATGAAGACTGGATGTGAATGAGATCATTTGCAAATCCCACTCCAATTTCTTTTACAGAAAAAGCATGCCATAAAAACTGGTTACAATGCTAGTTCATTTCCAAATTCCATGTTAACAAAACTTCTTTAGATCAGTTTTCAACACAAATAGCTCTCTTGAGACTGTGAGAGTCAGTTATGTGCTATGATGAGTAAGTTCTTTTAATTTGTTGGCTAAACTGTTCGATAAAGATTAACATTTAAGTAGTAAAGATGGTACTACGCACAGAATTACATTAAATAGTTGCTTCCCAACAGCGACCTAAACATAACTCCTGATGATACTTACCACTGATGACTTGTCCAAACAGCTCCTCTGGAGTGTCCCCAAAGAATGGCACACATCCGACCAGAAATTCATAGAGGATGATCCCCATGGCCCACCAGTCCACTGGCTTCCCATAGCCCTGCCTCAGAATCACTTCTGGTGCAATGTACTCAGGTGTGCCACAGACCTAGAAGACAACTGCAGTATTAGAATAACTGGAATATTAGACATGACTTAAATGAGCAAGATGGCTGAACACCAATTACGGTGTCCAGAGTGCATCTGCTCAACCACATGGAACCAACATGGGCAAAGAACTTAAGAACAGCAATTATAAGTTGGTATCTACAAAAATGAAGGCAGTGAAATATTTAAATACCATAAAATGGAAATTTACAGTTGCTCTAATGTTAAACCAGGTGTAATCTGTAACAGCAAATTGAGGGTTTGATCCTGTTTGGTAGTTCTACTTTTCTTACAATATTAAAAGCATTTGTGTAAATTTAAAATAATAATGCATTTTTAAATCTGTGACTATCAGGGATAGTCTTAGTATTTCTATGACCAAAATATATTCACACCCTGGTTACTTCATAAAAGCATGACAGTTGAGATGTGTTTACCTTAAGTAACTTTACAATGAACAGATTGGGTACATGGTAATGAGGCATGCTTAAAGGGAAATGGGCCATAGCTCAGATTTTAGCCCCCATGATTGCACGATGCATCATGAATTTCACGAGTACTCTACTGAGACTCCTGAATTCTTTACAAAGACAGTTTTCCATTTGTCTCTCTCACATTCTCACTGTGTGCAATTAGATCGTTCATCTTGCTAATAGACCATAATGTTGGGGGAGGAATGTGGTGGAATGGACAGTTCAAAGAGGCCCAGGGAGAAAAATGGAAGCAATTTGCACTTTATTAAATGTAAGGCTTATACAGACATCTACACTCCCAGTACTAATGTGAAAACAGCCTATCAAGTTGACTCTGCATTCCCCTGGCAATAGCATACTCTGTGTTTCTCTATAGAACTGAACAGCATGCCTAACTTACCTGTTTGTCCAAGAACTCTCGAGCATCCTTCTCAATATGACCCTCATACAGATTGGTAGTCATGCTCATGAGCCCCACCTTGGATAATCCGAAATCTGTCAGCTTTATGTGTCCCATGGAGGTGACCAACAAACTATGAAGCAGAAGGACATACATTACAACATTCACTCTGAAGCTCAAGTTTTCTTTTTAACTCCCCTCACCACCATCAATTTGTACGACTACTTAGAATAAAGGTATCAACCTTACTATAAAACCCAGACTGTGAAGAGATTAAGTCACATGAATATGTTAATAAATGTATCTGGCAGCCCAGTGTCATTCAAGAGAGGGCCAGGGACCAGACCCAGCTAATCTTTGTTGAAGCAGCACATACAGTATCATTTACAACTTGAAACCCTCAGAAAAATGCAAGTAAGGAGCTCTGACATCTTTCCACTTTCAGAATAAGAAAATAGGAGAGAAAGGGCTACCAATAATCCCTGTCACATATCAGGAACTAAGATAAGCTACCCATCTGTGATTCAAATGAGACATAAGATAAAGAACTTGGACAGGAAAAATGTATTGTTTCAGATTTCAACTTCCAGTTCTATTTAAATTTCTGCTCATTAGGCATAAAACATACATTTCTTATACATGCCAAGAATACACATTTGACAGCTCTATGAATTTATATTTAAATTTTTTTTTCATTTTAAGGGGAAAAAATTAATTAAAACATTAAAGGGATAGAGGAGTTGGGGGGAAAAAAGCTAGTGGGAGTAAATAAGCCAAAATTCTACTAGTTGTCTTTATTTGGTAATATTGTGAATGAAATATTTTCTTTTTCTGTACTTTCAATATTTTCTAGAATAAGCAGGAGTTAATTTTATCATAAAATTTTCAGCACATTTTACATATTAACATGCAATATTTTCAGGGCATCCCAAATTAGTGGAGAAAGCATGAAACATTTAATAAATGGTACCAAGGTGAACCGCTAATCATTTGGGGGAAAAGGTCTATCTATATCTTAAAGCAGACACCAAAATGAACTTCATATAAGTTAAAAACTGAATTAAAAATTAAATTGTGAGTAAAATACAATATTGAACATATATCATCTTGGAGTAGGAAAGAAGTATCTAAATATGATACTAAATACAAAAACTATCCAGAAAATAACTAGTAGCATTCTACAGTTTCTCAAAAGTTTACATATTTTTTAAAAAAACTTAAAAAATTAACTAACCCTGGCTTTATTATCTTTTTCTTTATAATCAATCATCTTTTGTTTCTTATAAACTATTACCAACAATATAGCCTTTAAAGGATTATATACAAATTATCGTATATATACTGCTTAGAAAACTAAATAAGGAACTAAATAATGTTCCTAAACAAATGTTCCTTAGTAGAGAACATTAGAATTCTAAAACATACAAAGCAGTGTTAAAATAAAACATTTTTACAGACATAAGAAAACTTTTTGCATTGTGTGAAAAGAAAAGTATGTTTTACCACTATACATACTTGTCTGGTTTCAAATCCCTGTGTACAATTCCATAATTATGTAGATATTCCAAGGCCAGAACCGTTTCAGCAAAATACATCCTGGCCATATCCACAGGGAGAGGACCCATGTTCTTCATTAATGTAGCACAGTCACCCCCTGTACAACACAAGATAAAGACTTGGCAGGCATAGCATCAGCTAGGATTGGAGAAGGCCATAGGTTTAGACTGCAGGACTTCAAACTCAAAGGGCACCCAGGGACAGACACAACATATCACATGCATTACTGGAGACTCTGTGTGTTAGGTAATCATGTTTCTAATTTAGATGTGGTGTGGTGTGGAGGAAATACAGATTTTTATTTAAGCAGTAGTACTCTTATGAGAGCAGACTTGGCTCTGAAGTGGAACTGAAATTTGAAGACCTGCTGTCATAATTTTAGGAATACAGTAACAAATTAAAATACGCCAGTATAAAACACGGATCCTGGAATCTGCCTGCTGAGTTCAAATACTAACTCTGACACTTACAGACAGAGCTCTTGGGCCAACTTGCCGTGATTCTTTCCTGTATATCAGGACAGTAATAGTGTCACCCCTTTTAGGATTATTGTGAGAATTAAATGAGGTAATCTATGTAAAGAATTTAGACTACTGCCAACACATATAAACATGGGATAGATGTTAATTATTGTTGTTAAAATAACGACAACAAAGACTAATAAAACAAAGAACAAAGTATCAGTGGGTTGCAAAGAACAATGGAAAGAAATCAGGTAAGCTATGTTTTTGTATTGTATCCACCACTAAATATCTAGTAGGTCTCCCTCCTTGGGTTTCAGTTCACTCATCTGCAGAATGAAAAGGTTGAATTAAAAGATATTTAATGTTTCTGTAAGTTTTATAGTTTCGGAATTCTGTTCAATAACAACCTAAATTAGATGCCTTGAAAATTGTTTTGGTCCTCACTATTCATTTTAAGTTTGTTTATGCCAACAAGTCATGGCCACTCAATCATTCAGAAGCTTAATGTAAAACTGATGGAGATAAGATCACTTGAAGCATTTAAAAAGTAAAACACAAACTTAAAAAAAAAAAAAGATAAACTTTTTTGATTGTACCTCTAGCCCCTAATTTTTAATTTTATATTACAGACCAAAAAGGATGTATTTTTTATTCATTTTTTAAGATCATTGTAACAAATGCCTTTATGTGATTAAAAAAAAAAGTAGAAAAAATTGTATTCTAACTTCAATGACCAATTGAGAGGAGGTAGTTAGGATTAAAAGCTATTTGAAAAGAAAAACAACCTTTTTCCAAATTGTGCTAATTTTCCCTTTGTTAAAGTAGAGCAGGCACTTTACAAGCAATTACCGCAAGATAATGACTGGGAATCGAGCCACCTCATTGCTTGGCTTCAGTTCCTAGGTGGATATGACCCATTATGTTGCACAAACAGAGAAGGCTTCAACCACAAAGCAAGTATGGGGCTTTGGGTGCAGCATCACGTTCTCTGTGTCAGAGACTGATTTACCTTCCACGTACTCCATGACCATGCACAAGTGGCGCTTTGTTTCAAAGGAGCAATACATGCTGACTACAAAGGGGTTCTCCGCAAAAGTCAGTATATCCCGTTCCACAAAGGCCTGCTGAATCTGGTTTCGGAGGATGAGGTTCTGTTTATTGATCTTCTTCATGGCAAACCTCTGTCGAGATTCCTTATGCCGAACAAAGTAGACTGCCCTGAAAAAGAGCACAGGAGTTGGGGATCACAGGAAGACAGGGTGTTTCTATAGGTAAACCGTTGTGACTGGTCATCAACTTTAAAAGTTCACTTGGAAGCTGGAATTCAGCTCACACAAGGTATGCTGGCATCTACAAACATTCCATTCCAGGCCAAAGCCCTTTGGCTATATTGATTATTTTTTAATTCATCCAATAAAGGTCACAGGTTAGACATAAGGCATCAAAAACATCTTCACTGTCAAAGGAGGGAAATGGACAGTCTCCAGAGGCTATTTTCCAATAGCTAGCTGTATATGTTTTCAGTTTTCTCATAAACAAAACAAAATCCAATACACAAGTCAGAGCAGGAAAGAATGAACAAAAGTACATATATACCATGAGCTAAATCCTTTCTTCCATTAGATATATGTTAAGCATTTTTTTCTCGCCTCACTAAGGCAGTGATTTTCTATAGGGCACCCTTACCTTCTGCGAAAAGAACCACAGCTACTTAGTGGAGTTGGCTTCCAATTTGAGAGTAATTTACTTCCCATGAAATTTCCAGATTAACTGAGAAGCATGTAATAGGTCATATGAGGCTGTCCTGCAATAAAGAGTAGCATATTTCCTCCTACAGACCTCAGCACGGGTTATACCTATGCCTGTCCTAACAGGAAATGTGTTTCCTGATATAAAAAGCAGTCAACAATACACTGCATTTCTGCTCCATCTGACCCATGGTCAAGGTGACAGGCAATGTTATTGCAAGATGAGCAGGCTGTGCTGAATTTCTGCCATAAACCTTACTCAAATACTCCATAAAACCAATTCTGGCTGGGTAAAGACAGTAGACTCCCTGAAGCTTTGAATGATGTGGAGAAAAGAATGAGGAGGAGGAGTCTTAAAACCCCACCTGGAAAAGATGAGCAACAAGGAAAGCATCTTGGCTTGGCTCCTCTTCTCCTAAGTGACTCTCACTTATGATTATGGTAGAACAGATTTGAACTCTCAGGTTAGACAATGCTCAAGTAAATAATAATTTACCTATGGAGCCATCAATCATTAGAAATGTGTAATAGGTTTCATGAGGCTGTCTTGTAACAAATGCAATTGTCAAGTAAGTGAAAATTTACTTAAAAAGCAATCCATCGAGTGGTCTGCCTCCTAAAACAAGGGGTTATCTGATCTGAGACGCAGTTTCTACTAGTCCCTCAAAAATAAAAGTAAATGCAAGCAAGATCTAGGACACCCTGTATTCCTGTTGAACCAATGTATCAGAGTAATCCACTGACATAAATTTAAGTATATTCAATCTCAGTTTTAATTGATATTCACATTTTTCCCTTCAGTGTTCAACTAGAAATTCATTTTTCTTTCAAGTGGGTGTATCTTTATCTTTGTCTTCTCTTTGTATCCATCTTTTCCCATTACTGATATAAATTAAACACTTCTTGGTATCTCTGTTTAAACATCACCTTATTTTTTGCTCTTTTCCTTTCTTTCTATCCTCATTTCTTTAGTCTTCTATTTTTTTCCTTCATTGTATAGTAAAAAACTCTTTCATCCACACTCTACCAAACAAACCCAAGGAATAATCTAGTGTTGTTATTTCCACTGTACAAACTGACACAGGAGCTGGCAGGCTGGCCACCTAGCACTTACTGTATGGCCTAGCGGTCCTCTTCCAGATACCCGAACACCTGGGTTCCCACTGGCTGGGTGTATTTCCATACCTGTTTTTCTGACTAGGCTTGATATCATGATTAACTGACTTAAACAGATATTTAAACTAATGAAACATGAGTATGGAAAGGAGAAACATTATTGCCTATAAGAAAACTAAATAGAATGCTTTGAAAGCACTGATAAATGTGAGTTACTAAATAAAATTCCCATTGATTTAGTATGGGTGAGAAGGTTTTTACAAGTTGAGAAGATAAAAATCTAGATTCCTACATTCAGATTGCTCAAATCTTGCTTTGCTTTTAAAGAAGCTAAATGTGAAAAACAGAAATGTATTATAACATGGTTTATACTGGCTGTCTTGAAAAGGTCTTATCTGAAAAGACTTTTAATTTTATATATATTTAGATTAAATTAAAATGTTAAAGTACATATAATGTTCTAATGATTTCCTACTTTGACCAACTTTTTAATTAACCAACCAACCAACTCCTTCTTTCTAAATCAGATTAAAGGCTTTTGTGGTATTTCTTTTTCTAATAACTGACTGGATAAAATCGAGATCCAAAAAAGCCCTTGAGCTTCTCCTATTTGGTTACTGGTAGCAGAACAGAGATACAAAGGGAACACAGAATATAACTTGACTTCCCCTGAAATATGAGGGAAATAAATAAGACAAACATTGTTATTAAGAGAGACTTTTGAGACAGAGCATCTATTTTTAAAATGAAATTTAGAATTTAAGATCTTAAAAGGAAAAAAATCAGTATCGTTATATAAGCACACTTGCCTATTCTTGAGAGTCAAATGGGATACAGTTTTCCAATATTTAATATTAAATTTAGTGCTGAGGATTCTCAGACATCCGACATTACCAACTTCACTTTTAGACTGTCAGAAGGTTGCCATTTTGATTTTCAATCAACCATCACCGTTTTTTACATAATTCACTGCTCAGCAGTATGTTTGAGAACAACAGGCAATGGGAGAAGAGCAGAGTTGTCTATGATTTTAAGAAAGAATAAAAGAGAAGGACGCTTCAGGTCCAATTTGACCAGCATCTGGACTGGGTTTCTTGATGGCAAATGTGTGGAAAATGACTATCTTTATTCTCAGATTATCAGCTCATAAAATTTGACTTGACTTTCTGCCTTCCCTTGCTAGGATGCCCTTAAAATAATCAGTTAAACCTCAGGGAAGTTTACCTAAACCAACTGAAATTAATCCTATACAGGTAGCTTGGGATATCCCTGCCTTAGGACGCACATATCTTGATCAAGCTGCAAGTCTTAATTAGAATTTTCTATAGCTGGACTTCTATTTGCTTTAAGTTCTTCAGATTCTACATTTCTGTACCACTTTGGAAATATTATCTTAATGCTGAAATTAGTTTATTTAGTAATAAATGTTTTCTCTCACATATACCTTTCATCTTTTCCTGTGAGTTGATGTTCCAAATATACTTAAGTCAGCAGAGAGAAACAGACAAACAGCAGCTGACAGACATCTAACATTGCTAAGCGGAGCTGTAAACCTCCCAAGGTTATAAAGCTGGGCTGAACTGATTCAGCCCCACATTTCTCTGCTTCCTGGCCCCAAGGGTTGCTTTCTTGCTGCTTCTGTTTCTTTCCCTGCACTGACCTCTCTGTGAAATAGGAAAACCCAAGGGCAGGAGGTGATGCAGGGGGAGGGACAACTGGGAACCCTTGTTCTCTGGGAGCCAAGCTTTACTCCAGCCATGCAGAAGTGAGTGGGAAGGTGGGGAGAAACTGAATCAGAAGCCGACAGGGTCTAGAGCAGAATGAATCAGTCCTATTGGGAGTGTGGATGTCTAATGTATATAAAGTTATGCATGAATCTGAAGCCCAATACACAAATCTATGTGAGCAAATCTGCATGTGGGAACCAGCATGCATATGTTAGAGGAAAGCTGAAAGGACAATTTACAGGGAGAGAGCATGTGGGAGAGGGGTGCATCTGTCAACTTGCACACCTGGATCTGTCAGGTAAATGACACTTATCCCTGCAGGGGTAAAAAAAAAACATGCAGTGAGGCTATAAAGTAGAGCTAGGTATGGGGAGAAATGTTGCACCTTTCAAATTTAGTTGTTTTTACTTTCTAAAATGTTAAGTCAGTTTATTCTTTCACTTTGAAACATTCAAAGTTGTAATTTAAAAATCCAGGTGGAAGTGCTCAACAGAAGGACTTCTATACCCTAATCATGATGGCTAAAAGTTATAACTAAAGAGTCCTTGGAGAAGAGAGCTCTGCTAGCAATCACAGCATGTGTGAGCATGCTCTAAGCCTCTCTCCCACATCTAAGTGGGAATCATGTCACCACCACATGGGGCTCTTGGGAGAAGAGAATGTATCTAAAGAACCTAGTGCAGTGACTGGCACATGGTCAGTGTTTCCCTTCTATAAAGGACCATGTTGGCATAAAGGGATATTTAACTTCCAGTCAGGGATCCAAAACACGTTAAGCAGAGAAGGAAATCACATGTTTATCGAGTTAGCAAACTGGCTTTGTAACATGAACTGTCACTCACTAAGATGTTGAGAACCCCATGCCGTGTTACAGCTCTTTCTACGGAGAAGGTTCTAGCACAGCCAATTTTTGAGAAGTCATGGAACCAGTGCTCCTCGGAGTCACTGACTTGAGTCTGTGACACAGATGCCTTCCTGAGAAAGCTGCTAACTGCTCCAGTTCATCCACTCGGGGAGGGATCCATTCATTTATTAGCCAGTTCATATAAGCCTACAATCAGCATTTTGACTGGGTGGGTGAATGAGTATAACTCCATTCAAATTTTAAATTAAAAACAATTAAAATGTGGAGGAAATCTGTCAGAAATGTAATAAGAAATTAAATCTGAGAAGAGCAAAAGAGAAAAAAAAATTCTGGCTGATCGGCAGAGGCTTCTGCAGGCAGCTTGTAAGCCCATTAATGACTTGGCCTGCGTCCTGGGTGTTCACTGATTCACAGCTTGTTTAACTTCTTGTATATTCCCTACCATTCCCCAAAGTGTGATATACCTTATCTACTATACAGTGGTCTAATTATACTACAAATGAGTTTACTCAACCAATTAGAACTCCAAATACTGATAAGATACATGCCCAAATTTCATAAAAGTGGTGCTTTACAGATCATCTCAATCCAGAATTCCACTGCCAGATTCCACAAAATCTAGCAGTGCTCAAACCCACAGACCCATTCAAAGTTCAGTCTTCTCCCTAATGAAGAAACAAATCCTCAAATAATGTCTAAAACTAAAAAAAAAAGCCCCTAAAAACAAGGAATAACCAAAACCCACAAACAACTGCATGCAAGAACAATTTTCTTAGGTAAAACAAGTTTCAAGGAGGTCCTTGAAGGAAAGAAAATATTGCAGAAATAAAACATCAGAAAGCATTTATAAGGCACATCAAGAAATGTGCTATTTGACATAATCCTGAAAATAAATCAGTGAAGCATGTAAAGGACTCACAAATATTTAAGTTCTTCAGTAAGTTAATGATGTGGAAAATATTAGAGGTAAAAAAAAATCATAAGGAGAAACATCCTTGTGGCATAAGAAAAATCACTTTTATCTCATCTGCTCATATGTAAGGTAAATGCAGCAATAAATGTCTATGGGATTGTTTATTGCTTTTCATACACAGATGGAATTGGGATTAATATTTAATTAAACTAGAGGTCTTGGGCTGTCTAAAACAGATCAGGCCATACTTTGTGTATTAATTAACCTTCTAAACTATTTATTAGGAATGCAGAAGGATCTTGTCACTATTGACCCTATACCATTTGATCAGATTATATAGCATGGAGTTCAACTGAAAAAAAATCCTTTTGTAATACAAAGACTAAAAGAAATGTATTGCTGTAAATTTTCAACCAATCTTCTTATTTAAGTACCTTTCTCCCAAGGCTGACTCTGGCTAGATAGGAAGTACTTGATAATTCTCAAGTAGTAATCTTATATATGAATTTATATTGATTTATATCTATCTATCTCCAGATGGGTATGTGTATGTATATACCATATGTATACACAACTATAATAAGAATCAGCTACTTCTGAACCCAAAAGGGCAGAATAAAGTAAGGAGAAGCAGGCAATGTATAAAAATTTTCCCTTTAGAAATTTTTACTTTGTAATATCCTCTTCCCCAACCATCTAAAATACTTCCCAGTGTCCCTTAATATGTTTTCTGTTGGAGCATCCACTGGAAAATGAGTTTGGCTGTGTATTACACCTAGCAATGAAGGAATAGAGATCTGAAAACTGAAGTCCCTAACAACACCTATTTGGCCTAAGATAAATGTGAAGAATATATTACTGAGGTGTGTTAAAATACAACTGAAAGTTTCCTTGAATTACTCACCCATAGGCTCCATTGCTAATCAATTTAATCGTTTCAAAATCACTTTCCCGAGGTTTCCTTTGAAGTTTCAGGGAAGCATTAGAGCTCTTAGAAACAAAATATAGAAGTGGAAAAATAGTTGAGAATTCAAGAAAATGGTTTAACAGCAAAATAAATAATAGTTGCATTATATGCTCTGTTGTTTAATATGATGAAGTACAGTATTCTAGCCAAAGGAACCTGGGGGATAGCTTGAAAGATCAATTTTCCAGAGTAATGCTGATCAGCTACTCCTCAGGACGATATTTCAGTTTTATTTAAGTGAACCTCCATTTCCAGGAGATAAAGGCACCAAGCATTTGAGAATTCCCAATTTCAATTTACGATTATAAATGATTCAAGTTAGCTTCATCCTAGTCTTCTAAAATTTTGAGACTTTAAGTCCCAAATTCCAAACCTTAATTCTGGTTTGTCAGCCAGAAAAGACAGGTTTGGAGTGTCTATCCATGGCTGGTGTATGTGTGCCTCGTCTGTACCTGACCAGAGCAGGTCTATTGCATTCCTGTGGCAACCTTTCTTGTTTGGAAAAAGTAGTGGGTGATGAATGGGACACCCAAGCAGAGAATGCCTGCTTTTCTTTACCATACCATAGTCTTACCATGGCTGAGATGTTAATTTTCACAAAGATAGCTCTTTAAAAAGTTTAGTTCAAAGGACAAGAAAAACAAAGTGTTTTTTTTTTTTTTAAAGAATTCTCATACCTCATGTATCTTAGCACAGAGGGAGTCTAAAAGCCTCTTTGCTCCCTCTGGAGAGGCCAGGATTCCCTTCCATATTTCTGGAAGAACCCCATGACTCTGAGGTATGTGCCACCCTCCTCCACTCAGCGCTGTCATCCACTGACCCTGCTGTCCTTCATCACTGGAAGACTGGGGCACCCAGCTTCCCACCTTCCTCTCTGCCTGTGTCTCTCACCATTCTGGTGAGTTTTGTGTCTACACAGAGAATTCACCCAACACTTTGGCCTCTGGGCTACTTGACCTCCTCAACTCAAACCACCACCTCTCTCCCTCTCTCCTCTATTTCCACTTGGCTTCTGGCCACAGAAGGGATGGTCATCCCCTGCCAAAGCTTCATCTCAGAAAGCATAATTCAAGACTTGGGACCACTTGTTCAACATTCCCACTTACTGCTCTTCACAGCTTTGGGCTGTAAAAGGCCCTCTTGTCTCACGAAATTCCCTGCCCAAGTGACCTCACTTATACCCGTGGATGACTCCTAAGGCATTTAGATCTCCACCAAAAACTCCCTCCGAGTGCCAGAAGACCCCACACCTTAGATATTGCCAGTTTGTTGGCTCTTCTTGGGTGTCTCAAACTTCCATCTCAACACATTCAAAATTATGAGAGGATAAAATTGCCAAAAGCGTACCGTTTATTTCCCATTGACTATGTGGTGCTTTCCCAACCATTTTATGCAGACTATCTCACTTACTCTTTTTATCATCATTGATATCTATTTCACAGATGAGGTGCCTGAGGCAGGAGAGATTCCCACAGCTAATAAGAGGTGGGGCCAGGTTTCAAATCCAGGCAATCTGACTCCAGTACCTAGGTGCTTACCCCCAGACTACAGAGCTGCCCCTCCTTCCACCCCCAGCCTGCTCCATCCTGGATCCTCTTCTGGCGTCAGGGAGAATGGCACCAGCTCCAGGACTGCTCCTTTGCACCACTGCAGCAGCCTATTCAGGGGCTTCCTCTGGTCACCCCCTGGCTCCCCTCACCCCACCTACTTGCTACTCTGCAGTCAGTGTGATTTTTGTCCAGCTATAACTCATCTCCCTGTCCACTTTCCCCCATATACACTTCCTCCAAAACTCATTTTCTTCCCATTGTTCTTTGAAAGAAAAAAATTGACAGAGATCAACAACAAGGATGTCTGTGTTCAGTGTTGGCCCGAGCACCCCAGTTCCTTTGGGCCCCCTTGCTCGTAGCCCTCAGATGCACGCTGCTCCCTGTCTCAGTCATCGCCCAGGATGTTCCCTGGGCCTGGAGTGTTCCCTGTCCCCCTTCTTACCCTCGGAACTTCTCATAGCTCAGCTCAAGTGTCATTTCCTTGGGAGATCTTTTTGGACTGTCAAGACTAAGGCACATCTCTCTATGTTATGTTCTAGTAGCACATGGCCCTAATTCTTCATAGATCTTTTTCAAGTTTATCATTTTTATTTTTGTGAGTGATTTGTCATCAATTTGATTCTCTTTGAAAAGAGGGGCTAAAGTTGTATGCCTAATGCCTTGCACATAGAAGCACAATAAATATTTGCTCAAAAAATAATTAACATGGCCATAATCTCCAGATGCTCATATACAGAAAAAACAATACCATTCTTCATCAAGAAAGATACTTACACTCACTGATTCATCTGTTTCTGGTGTTTCTGCTGCCCCACTATCATAGTTTCCCAACTTAGCCATTTCTAAGGGTAAAATAAAATAAAATAAAATAAAAGTTTAAGAAAAATAGGACATTTGCAAGTAAACAAGAATATTATGCTACAATAAAAGACAAATCATTTCTTCAGTAGCAAAGAAAAATTTACTCTGTACTCCAATGTATCTATGGGAAAATGTAAAATGTAAAACAACAAGAACCAGCAACCGGCATTTTGAAATTGTTCTTCACATGCCCTTCTCTGGAATCACATTTCTTATGAACACCTGGACACAGGCACAGGAGAAGTGGGTCTCTGCTCCAGCTCACAGGACTCGCTGACTGACACAATTACCACAACTTGGAAAGGGTTTGGGGTCAATGACTTGACAAGAGAGACAAGTTTTCTCAGGCTTCGGCAGACTTTAAAGATGCACTGGCTAGAGCTCTGAGCTGGTTCTCAAGTTGTGGTGGGCATTGTTACATGTTCCATTCCTTCACATCTTCTGAGAGATATCTTGCCAAGTACACTAAGAATTTGCAATTTGTCAGAAGGGAAGTAACAGTAGGTGGTATGAGGGGTTTGGAGATAAGACTTGGGTTACCAATGCTGCCAGCACTTATTAGTGGCCTTTTAATCTCAAGCTCTTCCTCTGTAAAATGAGGACATATGATTTCTCTCTTAATAGGTTTTTATGAGTATTGTATATGACAAGCATGCAAGGCTCTCAGCATACTAACAAATATGAAGTGCTCTGAATGATGACTGTTGTTTATTATTATTAATTATATTAATCATGTAAAGTACTCAATCCTGTGCTGAATGCCACATACTTGACATCAGCGTAAGTACTAGCTTGGTGGTCTAGTTCAAAGAGACAAAGGAGTCTAACTGCTCAGTTCACAATGGAATGCATCCTTGAGTCCATATAAGTAAATGGAAAACCTAATTCATTTTATTGTTCATTTGGTTTTTAACACTTACAAAATAAAACATGTTTTGTTTTGTTTTTTAAAACAAAACATGTTTTATTAAAAAAGAACATAAAAGAATTTTCTCCAAAACTTTGATAGGGAGCTATCTCTGAGTGGCAGGTATATAGGTAATTTGACTTTCTAGTTTTTCCAAGTTAAACATGCATAATAAAATGTTACTGTTTTTAGTTACAAATTTTTGTATGCATCTAAAATTATTTCTTAGGCTTTTACTTCTTGTATTTGTGTTCTTATAAACATAATCATCCTTTCTGGGAAGAGATTACACATCACTGGGATGTTGCCTTTAGAAAAAAATTGACAAACACCAGACCCTAAAATAACTGGACACTGACACTAACTGTCCTAGTTTACCTGTGGGGAAAATTCAAGAATAAAAATGAGCTCAGTACAAACTATGTGCTTTCTTGGTGTTATTCAAATGATGTCAACATCCTAGGTGACTAGTGCTTTAGATATATGGAGTAGGAGGTGAGCTACAATGTATTCAGTTGGAGGGGCTCTCAAAGAAAGGGGCAATTTTAATAGTGTTTAATGTTGCTTAAATAAAACAGCTAATATTTATTAAGCATTACTACATCTTGGGTACAGAGATGAACTAACACAATGCTGAAAACAACATTATGAATAGGTACCATTACACCATTTCTAAGGAAAGAATACTGTGGCCCGGAGGCTCATGATAGTGAGGTCAAGGCCACACAGAGGCAGTGTGGGCACCAGGGCACAGTCCCTGGCATTTCCACTCTGGACCCTCACTCCTAACTTTCAAAGGTCAGGCTTTAGGTCTGTTACAGTAAATGCTGACAAGAAGGGCAAAGAAAGAGATTCGAGTTTGTAATCATCACATTTTAAGTGATAACAAATAAATTAGAAACTATACTCAGATCTGATCAAGGAAATCGTGTCAAGAAGTAAAAATACAACTCCCAGGGATAAATTTCTGTTACTAAACTTGAAACTTGTCAAAGATCACTATTCAATTTTTTTTAAAGACTCTATAAAGCTACATAAATGGGCCTCAGATTACTCACCTACCAAAGTGCCAGGTAAGAAAACTGTGAAGAGCTACTCGCTCCACAATTCAAAGGGTGACACAACCCCTACCTCTACCAGCGTGAAGACTCACTATAATACACTTTGACAGCCTCCCCCACTCCAATTATTTTCATAAAAAAAACAAATTAAAATATGGTTCTGTTTTAAATAGGATCTCTGCTAAATAACTATTATCTGGGAAATACATATTATTTGAAAGCAGTGGGTAGTAATGGAATGGAACCAAGAGTCAGCTTTTGATGCAGGAAGCTGAGGCATCATTTTGTAATGCCTGAAGAGATTTTTAAAACTCATCTAAATACCATTGAACATCTGCCCTTTTTATTTTATTGATTTAAACCATTTCTAAAGACTCATGATTCAAAAAGGTAAAGATGGTAATTTAAAAGCCATGGGGAAAAATCTCTCCCCAGGGAACTTTTCAGAAAAGCAGCCACCAGTCTCTGATAAGTGATGAATCTGCTGTGGTATTGCTTTCGGTACAGTATAAATTTATCTGGCATTATCTCCCAGTAAGGCATGCATCATTTCCCTGGAAGCAAAGATCCGATGGCTGTAAGAGCAGACAAAGCAGGGGAAGGAAGAGAGCAGGGCAGAGAGCAGCAGGTTCCCTGGCTTCAGATGGGAAAATCTCTGTGCCAACAGTTACCGTCATTACAAACAATTTAGTATGATATACACTGTTTGCAAAAAAAATTGACAAACACCAGACCCTAAAATAACTGGACACTGACACTAACTGTCCTAGTTTACCTGTGGGGAAAATTCAAGAATAAAAATGAGCTCAGTACAAACTATGTGCTTTCTTGGTGTTATTCAAATGATGTCAACATCCTAGGTGACTAGTGCTTTAGATATATGGAGTAGGAGGTGAGCTACAATGTATTCAGTTGGAGGGGCTCTCAAAGAAAGGGGCAATTTTAATAGTGTTTAATGTTGCTTAAATAAAACAGCTAATATTTATTAAGCATTACTACATCTTGGGTACAGAGATGAACTAACACAATGCTGAAAACAACATTATGAATAGGTACCATTACACCATTTCTAAGGAAAGAATACTGTGGCCCGGAGGCTCATGATAGTGAGGTCAAGGCCACACAGAGGCAGTGTGGGCACCAGGGCACAGTCCCTGGCATTTCCACTCTGGACCCTCACTCCTAACTTTCAAAGGTCAGGCTTTAGGTCTGTTACAGTAAATGCTGACAAGAAGGGCAAAGAAAGAGATTCGAGTTTGTAATCATCACATTTTAAGTGATAACAAATAAATTAGAAACTATACTCAGATCTGATCAAGGAAATCGTGTCAAGAAGTAAAAATACAACTCCCAGGGATAAATTTCTGTTACTAAACTTGAAACTTGTCAAAGATCACTATTCAATTTTTTTTAAAGACTCTATAAAGCTACATAAATGGGCCTCAGATTACTCACCTACCAAAGTGCCAGGTAAGAAAACTGTGAAGAGCTACTCGCTCCACAATTCAAAGGGTGACACAACCCCTACCTCTACCAGCGTGAAGACTCACTATAATACACTTTGACAGCCTCCCCCACTCCAATTATTTTCATAAAAAAAACAAATTAAAATATGGTTCTGTTTTAAATAGGATCTCTGCTAAATAACTATTATCTGGGAAATACATATTATTTGAAAGCAGTGGGTAGTAATGGAATGGAACCAAGAGTCAGCTTTTGATGCAGGAAGCTGAGGCATCATTTTGTAATGCCTGAAGAGATTTTTAAAACTCATCTAAATACCATTGAACATCTGCCCTTTTTATTTTATTGATTTAAACCATTTCTAAAGACTCATGATTCAAAAAGGTAAAGATGGTAATTTAAAAGCCATGGGGAAAAATCTCTCCCCAGGGAACTTTTCAGAAAAGCAGCCACCAGTCTCTGATAAGTGATGAATCTGCTGTGGTATTGCTTTCGGTACAGTATAAATTTATCTGGCATTATCTCCCAGTAAGGCATGCATCATTTCCCTGGAAGCAAAGATCCGATGGCTGTAAGAGCAGACAAAGCAGGGGAAGGAAGAGAGCAGGGCAGAGAGCAGCAGGTTCCCTGGCTTCAGATGGGAAAATCTCTGTGCCAACAGTTACCGTCATTACAAACAATTTAGTATGATATACACTGTTTGCAAATTCAATTTAATGAACCGGGAAGATGATTTTCAATGAAGGAGTCTCTGATTGTTTTTGTGTCTTTGTAGGCAGCATATAACCTAAGTGTTTTCAATGACAATTCCAAACAATAATGAACAGGAAAAGGTGGGGAGTGGGAGTGGGTGGGAGTGTTTTACCAATATTAGATTTTGAAAAAAATCACTAACAGGGTGTTTCCTCTTCTGTGTATTCAACAGCATTAGGCCTATGGTTTCATTTAAAAATTCAGAAATCCTTTTGTAAGCTTTAAAAATCATTCTTTTCCCACTGGCTCTCCTCTCCTGTATATGACTATTTTTCACACTTTTTGGGATAAGTAAGCAAAATATATCTACCAACCCTGCACCTGATTTAAAGTAATCTATCATCAGTTATATTTCTCCCAAATTACTTTACATTTAAATGTCACTTTTAATTATAATTAATTTATCTGGCAACATTTTCAAATAAGCTTTGCAAGAGAAAAATATCACTCAGAGAGGATAGAAATGTACATTCTTTCAGGATACTCTGGCATTGCCAGGCTGCCCAGGCCGCAAGGATTTCAACGCCTGTCCCCATACTCTAGATAAACATAAACAGGCCTTGCTCACTTGCTCCTCAGGAGTCAACTTTTAGCTCTTCCTTCAAATCACAACTGGCCCCCAAATTTGGACTTTCCATTAGACAAAGTCAAAACATGAGGAAACAGTCAAGATTTGCTGAGTTCTTTTATGAGATCACGGGGCATAAGCAAGTAAAAGGTCAGCCCAACCAAGGAATTTACCTTCCAAAGGATCCTTGTTGAGCCCCAGCTGGCTGATGATGTACCTGGGAATGTCAGTTTTGATACCCTGCCCTTCTTTTGCATGGCCTTCTGCTGCTTCCAATAGGTAGTAAAATTCTTCAGGATCAAATTCCTAGCAGAAGACAAACACAGATGGATACTTCTTTGAGCCAAAATTTTCTGAGCTTTTATTGCATAAATCCCTTTCACAATAAAATTCACTGGATATACATGCTTGGGGGGTATTTATGCAAAGAGGAGGCAAATGGTTTTTTTAAAGTATATCATTCTTACTTCATATTTGAAGCCTATTCCCATCCTAAGGCAATACATTTATACGCTTAGTAACCGCAAGATAATGACCACTTCCAATTTTGAAGGAACTGTGTTCCACTGAAGACATCTATCCTTTCGAAAATGAACAGGCCCATATTTTTAATTGTGCCCTTCCAGTAAAGTTATAAAATCTGGGAATCTCACCCAGAAGATTCAGTTTCTCTCTCAGCACAAATAGCCACAAATGGAGTAATGTTAGAAAAGATTTTCTCAACGGTTTTGCAGAAAACTCAGTACAGAGGTGTTCAAAAGTATTAGGCTAGAAAGAAGAATCTCAAAATTACCACTTTTAGCAAAACACTCTAGAATTTTTAGCACTCACATAAGGTGAAATAAAGAAAGAAAAATACAAAATTAATGCTTCCAATAACTGTTATTTTTAAAATTTGGTAGCACATATTTTTCTATGTATTTACTTTCTCTGTAATATAAATCTTGAATATCACATCACATTAGAGGGATGCTGTAGGTTTATGTGTTGTAAGCAATTTGAGTTATAGATTTAAAGCACAGTTTCTATTTTCACTTACAGTTGCCAGATTTTTTTTTCCCCATGATTTTTCCCAGTTTGACAAATGCCCAAAATAGGCAACTTGGGAATATCAACATTTCACCTGAGAATTACTCAACAGCTTTTAAAGGCCATATACAAAAGCTTGCTGTAAATTTAGTAAAGCCAAACCAATGTGTACACTCAGTGCCCTTTATATGAACTTAAAATGAAAGAGGGCAAGCCTGGGACTGCAGGCATACTTCCAGCAGTTGGGGAAAACCTATCCTACAACTCTGAAACTCCTGTTTCATCTGAACTTTAAACAGTGCTGAAAGCAGCAACATTTTCAAACCTACATTCACTTGTTTCTATTTCTGGGAAGCTATACTTTTACTTTATCTCTTTTGATTAGGAGTAATTATTGTAAAAAATCCATTTCCTCCTTTAAGGCAAGATCTTCTCTAAGCGTATCTGCTGCTGTCCAGAGAAATGCTAACTGGTATTTCCCCCCAAAGTACACAACTATAGGAACTATAAGCATTGCATAATTCAAAGGAGAAACAATAAAAATTAAGCCTTCTTTATGCCTGTATTTGCCAGTCACAGTTCTCCTCCTCTTCACAGGTATCCCATGTACTTTTTCCCCTTTACCCCTCCAGAGATAGTCAATGTCAAATGCTGCTTTTGACTCTGCTTCTAAGGGTCCTGGCCGCAGATGGAGAGACCCATTCTGTAATGCCTCTACCTTCCTCCTTGAGATTTTCCCTCTACCATGTCTCACTATGCACTGGATTATATTTACAGGGCTGTGAACATTTCACTATTATAAAATGCAATGTTCATTTAAATAAGGCCAAATCACAGCAATACCATCATATATGTTTATGTGTGTATGTAGATATAATTCTGAAAGAGCTGTTTTATACAGTGTTATAAATCCTTTAAAATGGCTTAAAAGTGAGTTTTGATAGTATGTTAAATCCCTTTAAACTATTAGGTTCAAAGCTTCATATTTATTCAGAGTGTTGGAAATCTCAATCAAACTTATGCAAAACAAAAATTTTAAAACAGGGAAATGATCACTGGCCAAAGAAAATATAGTTGATAAAATGAACTGTTCTCTAGAAGTCTCATTTCTTCAGGTCTGGATGAGGCCCTACTGTATCCCAAAGGGCGGCTTATCAGTACTGATTTCTAACATGCCACATTTTAAAAACAAATAATAATTATAACCTCAGGTCAATATATACCATATCTCTGATTTCCCTCTCTTTGCATTTTGGCAACTCCAAAAAAGTTAGGTCCCACTGAGTGTTTTAAATCAGCTGTAACATAGTCATTATGCTGGGATAAGTTTAAGCACATTATTTCATGAATGTCTTTCAGTTTTGACCAGAATGTGATACGACTATCACTTAACACAGCACAAGTCCTAGCATTCCTACTTGAAACCAGAAGGTAAGTCACATATGGATGACATCATGCACATTCACAACTTGTAGTTCCTGTTCACTCTTTGCACTGAACTCTGGTCTTTGAAGCCAAATGAAATTGGAGCTTTCTGATGGTCACTGCTTTCTCATACTTAACCATAAATAATGCAGTCACATCTGGGGCAACTTACCAGGCACTCTAATAACCGAGCAGGGCGGGCAATAACAATCAGGATCTTTCGAACTAGCTGTTTGATAAATGCCAATTCTCCACTCTCTGAACGGTCATGTGCCTATGAAATAGCAATGACAAGAATGATGACACAGAGTTGCTCCATTAAATGGGAAAGAAAACCAGCAAAGCATGCTAATTAAATAACAGCAAATATTAAAAAATTGTGATTTTGAATACTTAGATTGATAAGCAGAAACCATTTCTTCATAAATGGACACTATTAAAGTTCTATATTTATAAAATGACTCGACTAGCTAAATTGTAATTGCAAAATTGATTTATTCTCTGTGTCAAAAATCCAGTGTTAGGGCTCTTAATGTGAACCATGAATGAAGGAGACACTAAAAGTGTATGACACATTAAGTATATAGTACAAGTGAAATGTGCAGCTGATGAGGACCCTGGATTTCTCCAGATGTAATATCTTAAATATATGAAATGGCTAACATAGTAAAGGACTGCTTTTGTTTTCCTGGGCATGAACCCATTCACGAAATATATTTACATATACAACATGATTAGCCTATATATTAGTTATTTTATAACATGAAGATGTATGTACTACTTATTTCAATGTTAGGTGGATAATGTTTATATGTGGCTATAAACATATGAATTTGATTTCACATATTGAATAACACCTAAGCCCTCAACTCATTAAAATTTAACTGACTTAAAACCTTTTTAAATTTTATTTTACATGTTGCTTACATGTGAAATCTAAGCACAAAAAATACCCTGAGAACAAAAGTCATTTTAATGAGAGTCATTTTAATTTTCAATGATATTTTCTTAAACAAATGAGGTAAATCTGTATGTAGGCAGACATAGAGCCAAAGTTTTAAAAGTTTAAATATAAACTTCCATGCATGTTCACTTTTAGGCTTTCTTTAATTTTAAATTATTACGATTTGTTTTCCCCTAAGGATTAAAAAAATACATATCATAGCAATGCTGGTGCAATAGAATTTAATTTCACAGACACATTAATAGACATTTAAAATCATTCCTGAAGGTGCTTTACTCTGACAAGGACTAGCCCTCAGGAAAAGAACTGACAAACCAAATTTACGAAAAATGATCATGTTAGCAGTAATATGTTTACTCAATTTAAGCCATCAAATCAAAGACAACTTTCCAAACTGTGGGTAAGAGAGCATATCGAGGCAGCTAACATTTAAAGGAAAAAAAAAACAAGGAAAATGATCACTGGTGAATAATTACACAATAGAAGGCATTCAAAGAAACCAACTAGCAACTATAACTATAGGTCCTAATAACCAGTAAAGATGCTAGAACATATATAAGGAGATATATGTAATGTTTAAACTGTCTTTTTAAGTTTTCTTTCCAATTTTTGTTTTGTAACAAAAACAGATTTTGGAAGATATAAGGCATTCCAAGAAATACGGCTGTGTGTTTTCTTTATAGTTTACCCCTAATCAAAACTAAACAGAAGACCTTAAAGAGGACACCAAAAACCCACTTAACTTCTTGACTGACAATTTGGGCTAGATACTGAATTACCTCTTACTAGAATAATTACACTTTGTAAATTTGGGAAAAGAAAGAAACTCTAAAAAGTGTGAACATGTTCTGGTAATTTAATCAAAAGAAAACTATATTCTGTATCTTAAAAAATCTAAAAATAGTCAATTTCGATGATACAAAGTCCATTTTAGAAACTGTATAAAGAATCAGTTCATTCCTACTTCGTACTTCTAAGAATTACCAGCCATAACTAAGGCCAAAACATACAATGGGTTATATTAACTCCAATAATATTTTATCTACAAACATAATGGAGGGTGGCAGGTGGGGTGGGGCGCTTTGTTAAAACATCACTGAACAAAACCACACACTTAGTGACAGAAGAGAAATAGTTTCTTGGCTGCCAATGCCAATGGACACCCTGAGTTTGTACTTTCAGTATTGGCCACTATGAAAAATACCGAGACTCAGATTTGAGGGTAGGTTATAGCTTCCCATGTATTTTATTTTCTTTGGCTAAACACACCTTGGTGAAAAAAAAAGAATGGAGACATAAAAGCATTCATCTGGAATTGACCTAGACTTTGAGACTCTCAAATGGCATCACTTAAATCAAGCTGCTCAAACCTCCAGGGGATCTTGCCTGGGTATGCAGAAGATTGCCTAGTCAAAGCTGGGAAATGACAACAATTGCATCCTGCGGAAGGCAAAGCAAGTTCCCACAATTTGGCTTCATCTAAAAGGGACAGGTTCCCTTGTGACCATTCAGCTCCAACTCTGGAAGGGCCCTGCAAATATGACTCTGAAGGCAGTTATATTTTTTACAGAGGGACTGAAGGAAAATGTTTATCTGTGAAGATAAACAAGAAATGTTCTTATTCATACCCAACAATGCTCTTTATGCCACAAGTATGCATGTTTCTCTGACCAAAATAGAATTTTTCTAAACATCAACAAATTTTAATCTCTTATATGGTACATTTAGATGATTTTTGAACCCTGAGTTTTTTTTTCATTGCCATGGAACAACCTAAGTTCATCATACAGAAAAAAAATTAAATGGGGGATTTCAATGGACATAGCTTTGAATATTGATTCTGCCCTTTCCAGGGAATGTCTATTAAGGAATGAAAAACAGGTCTAAACTGGTAATTATGGTCACATCCTGGGACAGAACCATGGGATTCAGGAAGGAATATCTCATAGAGGCTGACTACAGAGTCCCTCTCTTATCTGCCTCTTTTGATTAAAAATGGACCATTTAACAAATGTGACTTTTGAGGTATTTTCATTAAGTAATATACATAGTTTCTGGCATTTCCCAGGAGCTGATGTGATTAAAAGGGCAGCAGAATTATATTACTTGATGATAAATCATAACAGATCGACTGTAACGGTGTGTATATAGGCTTATGTTCTTCTTCTCTCCTTCCTTCCTTTCCTTCTATAGTTACTGAGGAACCAGTAAGTACCAGGCACAGTGCTAGGGTCTGGGGAGTTAGAGACGATGATTTGGATGTGATCCTTGCCCCTGAAAGAAACCACTGTATGGTGAAGTGAGACCCTAAAACAGACCATTACAATGTACTGCAGTTAACAGGCCATGTTACAGTTTTTACTTACAGGCAGTGGAGCCACTCAAGAGTATTGTGAGATAGAGATGTTCTTGCAGGTGCATAGAAGTATGAATTTGAGGGGTTAGAACTGGAAGGAGGCAGACCAGTGAGGATGAGGGCCTGAGTTAGGTAGTGGCTATAGAATTGAAGGGATGAATTAGTGAAATATTTAGGAAGTAAACAAAGAGAGCTGAGTGGTTATTTGATGGAAAGAAATGAGGGAGTCTAGTATGACCCAGTATTACTAGCAGGCAACTCCAAAGACGGGGCACAGAATGCAGGAGAAGCAGGCTTGGTGAGAAAATACTGAGTTTAATTTCGGATAGGTTGGGTCTGCTGCCTCAGTGGGTTGTCCAGGTAGGCAGGCAGAAACACGAATCTGAAATCTGAGAGAGGGTTGCTGGACTGAGCTACAGACTGGAAGCCAGCAGAGGCCACAGGTCCCCAACCTGAGACAGCCAGCAAGGTCACCAGGGCACAGGGGAGGGGCGGTGGGCCAGGCTCTGGTCAAGGGAGCACTTTCAGAAAACACAAGTTGGAAGGGGTGCCCTTGGAAGGGCAGAGAAGGAACAGAGGCGCCAAGAATAAAAGAATGTCTTAAGGGGAGGAGGGAACAAGAGAGAAAAAGAGGGTTTTAACATTGCTGAATGAAATAATATTCTAGTAAAGTAGGCCTGTTTCAGTGTCCAGTAGATGTGTAGTAAGGAGGAGAGTGGGGAAAAGCAAGTTTAGTGAGAGGAGATTAGAAGTCCCACACCATCCTAGTCACACACGGAATCACGCAAACAATAGCCCTATGCACACAAGCGCTGCAGCGGTGCTGGTGCCAGTCCACAAGATGTCATCCACTTCTGCTAAGGTCAGTGCAGTGATTAGATCAAGCATTTAGCCACTCCTATGTTCTATATTGCTGGTGTATTATAATGCACCATTATTTTCCTGTAAATTACTTTTCATTTTATTTATAGGAGAAATGGTCCCTGACAAATTGGAAACAAACACAAAAAACAATGTGTCCCCCCTCAAAACAGCCTGAGAAGCACTGCTTTAATAGACTGCAACAGGCTGAAATATGAGAATGGGAATGAATGTAGAAACCTGTTGGGAGGTTTGGATAGGAAAGAGAAGGAAATAGTGGCTGCTAATCAGAAGGATCTTCTCATCTCACAGGAACTGAATTCAGCAGTGGCAAGGATGGATGGATTGCCAGAGAACCAGAACACTAGTATTTTCCTTCAGTTCCATGCAATTATTTACATATTCATGCTTAGAGAAACCCACATATAATTATGCTTAGATGGCCAAAATTTATGCCCTATGAGTTAAAGAAATACAATATATATATATATATATATATATCTCCAAATATATAGGCTAAATAGGTTTTACTTATAGGCTGCGGCTATCCAATTTCAGTCCAAATAGCAATATGATGTGCTAATTCCATCCTACCATACACATTCCTTCCTGTCCCAGGTGTTATCAGGGGCGAGGCATGCAAGTGTTGGGCCTACACACATCCTGTGTTTATCTGTCATTTTAGAAATTGGATATTTTCTTAGAAGAACTGACACTAATGAAAATATACCTTGCCATTTTCTACCCAACACCACATACAGGTTAATTAAGAGGACACAGGGCCTAGAAGAAGCCAGCAATTTTCCATTTAGCTTTTCCAGATATTAGAACTAGATAGCATCACAGAATAATGCACGTACTCTCAGGCAATTTATAGCTTAACAGTTAAGGGGGAGCAGAAATCACTGCTTCAAAATCCTTCACAATCCACTTATCCTAGAGCCACAGATTGTTGGGTCCCAAGGTTCCTGTAAAGGTTATTACATTAACTTTCTATTACTATAAATGATGACAAGAATCAATTTATAGCAAGAAGTAATCAGGTATTTTTCTCCTTCTTCTTCTTTGCTTCACTGGAATATGAACTCCACCTCTTTGTTAAAACTCGTAAGCAAGTTTCTCATGCAATTTTTATTTTTTTCAGGGCAAAAGCACAAGAAATATGAAAACTTTCTATGGTATATGGTTCATACCTCCTGTAGCAGTTTGTCTAATTTGTGCTGCAATTCAAGAAAGTATCGTGAGGTGATGAGACCCTGGTGGGATTTATCCAAGCAATCTCGAGCCAGTTCAATAATCTGGTGATGAGTGAAACTAAGCACACCATCTGCTAGAGGAAGAACATGGTCGGGAGAGTAGCTGGTGATAATGTCCTTAAGACGTTCTTCCATTTGAGCTGTAGCCTAGAGAAGACATGCACACACAGATGTAACACAGGGAAGCACATGCGGACAATTCAATCACCATATTCATCTAGCATCTTCAGAGACCTCCACAAATTATTAAATAGAATTGCAGAAATTATATTTAAAAGAAGCTTTACTTCTGTATGACACTATAATAGATAGTACAAATTGTTGCTATTATTTGTCAAAATCCACGGAATGTGCACCACCAGGAGTGAACTCTAATGTAAAATACTGACTGGGTGATGAGGACGCATCAGTGCAGGCGCATCAGTGGTAACAGATGGACCACTCTACTAGGGGACAGTGATGGGAGGCGACTGTGCAGGTGTGGGGCGAGGGGCTATATAAGAACTCTTGCACCTTTTGCTCAGTTTTGCTGTGAACCTAAAACTGCTCTAAGAAATAAAGTCTATTTGGAAAAAAGAAAGGATGTGAGGTTTATAAGGACAACTGAGTATCCCAGGGGGATAATTACTTTTCTCTATGTCCTATCAAATGTAAAATGGTCTGTGCACGTTTCTTCAAATAACTCAAGCATGTCTGTGAATTGCTATGCTTTCATTTAAGACCTTAGGCTTTTTCAGCTGGATGGTAAAAAATATCAAATAGTTATGTTTTTACCTATTCAAAAATCAGAACTGCTGCTACAATTCCGCAGGGTGAGCTACGAGTTTGATTATCTTAGCTAGGCTTTCATGTACTAGGAATAAACATCTTATAATACTATTTTTACCCTTTCCTCACAAAGCTATATTGTGTGCAAGGCCAAGGGGATTCCCTTGGTAATGTAAGACTAAAACTTCCTTTCTAACTTACATTTCGTTCTCTGTGATCCCCTACTACCTAATCAATATTCCTTGCTCACGTTATATAGGCTTGTTTAAGTTGTATAAGCAGGGGGATTCCCTCCCCCTCCTGCCCCCTCTAAAATCCTTATCAGCACTGACTAGGTAGAGTCAGGATCTGCTCTCCTGGTGAACAAGTGGCATGTGATAAATAGCTAAGATGGCTTTAATCAATGACATCAATGTTGGGTTCATTACAAATAATAAATACTCTACTGATTTATGAAACCAAAGATTCCCAAAGGTTCTACACAGGTAGTGGGGGAGGAGCAGGAACAACAAGGAAAGACTGCCTTTCCCAAATGTGAGGAGCACTTTGGTGGGAAAGCTGTGGAAAAGAGGCCCCGAGGACTATCGGCAGCAGCTCCCTGCAGTCAGGGCATCTGGCAGCAACCCTGTCCCCGGTCCTCTCTGGCTTGATCCAAGTTCCGTTTTCCAGTCCACTAGGGAACACTGCAACTGTATCTGCCCTTCTACATTAATAGGGCTGAATATATAATTGCTGAAGAGATAGGAAATCACAGAAAAAGTGAGATTTAAAAACAATAAAGACTTTCATGACATACCAGTCTACAGGTGTCTAAGGACGATAACTGGTCTCTGCTTGACAACATAGCCTCAGGCCTGGAACATGGGCACAAGGAACACAGGGGTCTAGGGGCCTTTTAAAGGGGACTCCCTGTAGCGCCTCACCAGGACACCAGCAGGATTCCCTTCAGAGCCAGTTCACCACTCAGAGAGTGTAGCTAGTTCTCAGCAGTTTTAAAAAATGTTTCATAATTTTATCTAAGAAGGCATGGTGCTGTTTTATGCAAGTTATTACTACATTGGACCATTACTTCCCATAACTGAACCACCTCACTGATGCTAAACCTATGTTGCCTATATGTTTAGATGCTAGGCATCTTCAATTCAATTCATTACCTTTGGGAACCTTTCTTTGTAGACATGGTTCATCATAATTATTTCATGGTCACAGCAGGCGGGAGAACGTCCAGGGCTGCAAGCAAAGCAAATTACCCTTTTAAACTTGCCACAGCATGAAATGAGAATAAGCTTTTTATTTATAAACAATTGGTTGCATCAAAAGTACTATGCACCCTTCATAAGAAAAGTATATTAGGTAATAAACTACAAAATCAGTCATTAGTATACATGTACCCATACACAGCCACAAGCAGTGACACCCTGAGGAGGATCTAAAAGAAAGTTCAGGAAGTAAAATGCCACAAAATAATTATAGCTATAATATAAAACTAGTTCAGAAGACACACTGAAATTGAGATTATATTCTATATGTAGCATGCGATTGTGTAGACCTGGAAACCAATTAGTGAATTGCAATATGAAACAAAACAGGGTAGCTACTAACAGTAACATCTAGGACAGGCTGAACAGCGTAATTTCACACCTTTTTCATACACCTGTGCTCTGCCATGTAGCACTGAAGATGTGTAAGTCTTCCACAGCACAGGTGTCACCAACAAAATCCATTTTCTAGCCTAGCAAGTATTTATCTGGGATGCTGAGGCAGCCATTATGTACAACAAGGAACACAGGCATGGAACTGTTGGGTGTTGTTCCTTATTTCTTGTTCTTTCCCAGTGGTAGTTGCACAACTTAAGTGTGAGTATGTCCATTTCTGGGAGTACAGCTTGCATTACTTATCCGAGGAACTTCTTTCATAAAACCAGAAGGGCACCCATGTGGTAAAATGCAATGCTTCTGAACGAATTCATAAAGTTGGTCTTTCATTCCACATTTCAAAATATTCTCATCCATCTCACAATTATCAAGTGTGGCTACCTTTACTATCAGTTCATGATACTAAATACAAAAGATACAAGGGTACAAAACCCTTCTCAGTAAACTGATATTCAACTGAATATATACTGATGGTTTTTATAATAAAATCTAAATATATGAAAGTGCACCAATTCTATAGCACCAAAATGTCATACAGTGGTGGACCCAGAGAAGGGCTGTCTTGATCAGGCCACAGAGAAGGACTTGCTGGAGCAGCTGCTGGAAGTGCAGAAGCCTTTCTCTGCCAGTGCCTTCAGGGACAGCCTCAGCTGCACAGGCACCTCACCCAAAGCCACACCCTTCCAGGGGGAGAGAGTGTGTGCGCATGCGTGCGTGTGAGAGATAAAAAAAGGTCAAATTAAACTGGCCCTACTTAATGTCAAATATTTGGCACCCACAAATGTAAGGGATGCAAACTCCTAAGACGTTATTAATAGTCTGGAGAAATTAAACTTATCATGGGAAGAAAGACTAAAAGATCTGGGTGAACTTTTATTAATGTGGAATCGAAAAAAAATCCTTATGATGTTGTTGTCTTTCCTTTTCAGCCAACCCTTTCCCTCTTAAAAAAGAGTATGAACTGCTACTGCACCACAATTAGATTGTCTTGTAATTTCCAGTGGCTGTAAGTTTTTACAGTTGGTCCCTTTAGCCCATCATGATTACTGCTACTTCAGCAATTAGCAAACTGTGAAAATTTAAAAGAAAAATAGTAAGATGCCCTTCAATGATAATTACCAATATCATGTATAGATGGGAAAAAAAATCACACTGTATTTATAGTAGTTCACAAATCAGTTCACACATAAATGAATCAGAGAACCGAAAGTCTTCCTTTGAAATGGTTGAAAACAGATAATCCAATTAAATAACGTTTTACAATTGGGTCCACACACCTCAGACTTCGGGAACGGGGGCGCATGGGTGTGTTCCTGCATCTGTTTTCTGCGGCAATGCTTTCGGTAGTACAAAAATGTTTCGATAAGAAGTGTAATTCATCTGCCGTTGGTTGGTATGGTAACTGATGTAACTTCTCCTGGGAGGAACAGGATGACTAAAACAAACCAAAGTGAGGTTAGATGGCCACCTAAGAAGAAATTCTTCAAAAGAATGTAAGATCAAAGCACTAAACTTGAGTGACATCATGATTTCATATTGTTTCCTTTTCATGCTATGATTACAACAACTAGTTGTAACACTTGATGCTTTCTCAGAGAGCTCAAGATGCCTTCCATATTCATCTGATTTGTCTATAAGACAATTTCCCAAAGATAGTTTCCTCTCCTGGAGAAAACCCAGGCTCTGAAAATGGACAGGACCCAGTCAAAGCCAAAGCAAGAAAGTGACAGTTGGAGTGAGAATCTGGGCACATTAAATGGCAGATTAGTTCTCAACTAAGTATAGCACCCTTGCTACTACTAGTGCTCTGCCATGTAGCACTGAAGATGTGTAAGTCTTCCACAGCACAGGTGTCACCAACAAAATCCATTTTCTAGCCTAGCAAGTATTTATCTGGGATGCTGAGGCAGCCATTATGTACAACAAGGAACACAGGCATGGAACTGTTGGGTGTTGTTCCTTATTTCTTGTTCTTTCCCAGTGGTAGTTGCACAACTTAAGTGTGAGTATGTCCATTTCTGGGAGTACAGCTTGCATTACTTATCCGAGGAACTTCTTTCATAAAACCAGAAGGGCACCCATGTGGTAAAATGCAATGCTTCTGAACGAATTCATAAAGTTGGTCTTTCATTCCACATTTCAAAATATTCTCATCCATCTCACAATTATCAAGTGTGGCTACCTTTACTATCAGTTCATGATACTAAATACAAAAGATACAAGGGTACAAAACCCTTCTCAGTAAACTGATATTCAACTGAATATATACTGATGGTTTTTATAATAAAATCTAAATATATGAAAGTGCACCAATTCTATAGCACCAAAATGTCATACAGTGGTGGACCCAGAGAAGGGCTGTCTTGATCAGGCCACAGAGAAGGACTTGCTGGAGCAGCTGCTGGAAGTGCAGAAGCCTTTCTCTGCCAGTGCCTTCAGGGACAGCCTCAGCTGCACAGGCACCTCACCCAAAGCCACACCCTTCCAGGGGGAGAGAGTGTGTGCGCATGCGTGCGTGTGAGAGATAAAAAAAGGTCAAATTAAACTGGCCCTACTTAATGTCAAATATTTGGCACCCACAAATGTAAGGGATGCAAACTCCTAAGACGTTATTAATAGTCTGGAGAAATTAAACTTATCATGGGAAGAAAGACTAAAAGATCTGGGTGAACTTTTATTAATGTGGAATCGAAAAAAAATCCTTATGATGTTGTTGTCTTTCCTTTTCAGCCAACCCTTTCCCTCTTAAAAAAGAGTATGAACTGCTACTGCACCACAATTAGATTGTCTTGTAATTTCCAGTGGCTGTAAGTTTTTACAGTTGGTCCCTTTAGCCCATCATGATTACTGCTACTTCAGCAATTAGCAAACTGTGAAAATTTAAAAGAAAAATAGTAAGATGCCCTTCAATGATAATTACCAATATCATGTATAGATGGGAAAAAAAATCACACTGTATTTATAGTAGTTCACAAATCAGTTCACACATAAATGAATCAGAGAACCGAAAGTCTTCCTTTGAAATGGTTGAAAACAGATAATCCAATTAAATAACGTTTTACAATTGGGTCCACACACCTCAGACTTCGGGAACGGGGGCGCATGGGTGTGTTCCTGCATCTGTTTTCTGCGGCAATGCTTTCGGTAGTACAAAAATGTTTCGATAAGAAGTGTAATTCATCTGCCGTTGGTTGGTATGGTAACTGATGTAACTTCTCCTGGGAGGAACAGGATGACTAAAACAAACCAAAGTGAGGTTAGATGGCCACCTAAGAAGAAATTCTTCAAAAGAATGTAAGATCAAAGCACTAAACTTGAGTGACATCATGATTTCATATTGTTTCCTTTTCATGCTATGATTACAACAACTAGTTGTAACACTTGATGCTTTCTCAGAGAGCTCAAGATGCCTTCCATATTCATCTGATTTGTCTATAAGACAATTTCCCAAAGATAGTTTCCTCTCCTGGAGAAAACCCAGGCTCTGAAAATGGACAGGACCCAGTCAAAGCCAAAGCAAGAAAGTGACAGTTGGAGTGAGAATCTGGGCACATTAAATGGCAGATTAGTTCTCAACTAAGTATAGCACCCTTGCTACTACTGCTCACAATCAAACATTGTGACTTTTAGCTAAATCACATAAAATGAAGTCTATGACGTGTGATCATAAATAAGGTAATGGGATCTCACTTTACAAAGCATGCTGTCCTTTGATACAATTACCATTAATATGTACTTTGGATAAAGGGGAAGGGATGAAGAAAATGCTTTTCTTACTAATGCCATTACTTTAAAAATTGGAACATTTTGTTTCCTTTCTTTGGCTAAGACTTTTTTTTAAGAGCTTCAGTTGCGGGGAGTTTGTTTTTTTTTTTTAATCGCTTTGTATAGATTTGCTTTTTGAATATTGTCACTCAATACTTAGGACAAGGTAGGATAGAAAAGGTGAATGGCAAAAACACTGCTTTTAATCAGTCAGAAAAATAATTATAAAGCAAAGAAATTGTTGTTTTTGTTTTATTGGGAAGTGAACTGTATAAGCAATTCTAACAAAAGAGATTGAGAAACTTTTTAGTAATGGAAGCCTAGTTAGAATAAGCATATTTTGAAAGATACAACCTGAAAATTCAGTTCTAGCAGTTTTTTAAATTTATTTTTAAAATATCTGTTATTATGTTAAGAACACACTTCCTAAGCACTCAAGTACTGAAATGCAGTAACATTAGTAATGAATGACTAAAGCTTAAAAATATCCTTATATCTTGAAATTATAAAATACTTTATAAGTATATGCTGATATAAAGAGGAATTTTTATAAGGTGATGAGATTTCATAAACTGTAAAATGAGAACACTTCTTGAAAGACTTAGGAGATAAACCAAAGCTCAATTCAGAAACTAAAGGCAGTCTTCCATACTTTCACTATGAATAATGAAATAAAACACATAAACTAAATCAATTCAAGAAATGAGGGAGAAGAAGAATAAAGTCGATGCAGGCAGGAGAGAATCAGCAGTGAGAGAAGAAAAGGAAATTAGCAAACAGAAAAACAGAATTAAGAATTCACACATGTGTCTCAAAGGTAAATCAATGTCCACAATCCTGTATCCAAGATTTCAGAATCCCCAATCCCAGGTGTTTCTTCAGAGGGTTACAGTAATCCCTTTTGGTGGAAAGCATCAACTGAACTGTTGGAAAGCTATTTAAAGTATGTATTTAATTCACTTAGTTTGTATGTTGATTCAGGTTGCTGTAGAAATATTAATATATTTGATTATGAGCTTCTGGCCCAGTTGCTGCTGGGCTGTTTTATATGGTACAGGGATCATGTTACCTTTCTAAAATGTGAAAATTAATTTCAAGACACACTGAGCTCATGAATTTCACAGGATTCAAGGACCTGTACCTGCATGAGAACGACACCAAGTGACGTCAGGAGGGTGGTTTCCTCTGGAGGAAGGAGAAGGCATTGGATGGCAGGGGCTTTAGCTGTATCTTTGATAATCTTTATTTATAAAACAAAATAGTTTTATCAAAAAAAATACAGCTGTAGCAAATGTAACAAAATGTTAACATGTGTTAACTCCAAGAGGAAAATTTTGTGGTTATACCATATGTATAACAATATAACTGAACTCCGTAAGGTATGCATCTTGGGCTTACTGCTGGGGAATATGTTAAAATGAATGATGCAGTGCTATAAATAAATGTTATAACCTTAACACTTTTAAAGGAGCAAGAAGGAAAGTAGCTTCTGTGGGAAGAGAGCCTCTTTCACCTCAGCTGGAACAAGCAAGGGGTCAATGGGAATAGGGTGAAGCTAAATGTAAGTGACACCAGGATGAGTTTACAGCCCTGGGAACAACTGTAGGCCAGCAAAAAGGCCCAGGGATTCAAAAGGTACCAAACAGGGTTCAAAAAGTAAGTCGACATAGGACAACAAAGAAATCCAAGGTTCTGTTTCAGCAGAGATTAGGGATTCAGCGAAAAACTCGCAAAGCCAGTGAAGAGAGCTTCCGGACAACAGAGGGGAGAGGTATTGTCCCTAAGACCTCATAAGGTTACTGAAAAGATACCTCCACTGGCTGAAACACCCTGGAATACAACTTTTAGAAGAGTTTCAATAATTACTCTGGGAGTTTCTGAGTAAACTGAGTCTCATTCATTACTTTACATTTCTAGCTTGTCTTCTAAGTGTGGTGACAGTGAGTCATCACTCAACTAGTTTGCATAAATCAAATCTACTTTCAAAGAGTAAAGATTTACATAAAAAAAAAACCTATAGAAGAGTTTCCCCAAAATGTTCTGAGAGATGATATCATTTAATCTCTCCAGATAACCATTTTGGAAAGGACAGAACACATACGCATGTGTAATTTTCTACTTGTTATTTATTAAAAGTAACATCATTTTATAGTCATACCTCACATATATAGGTATTTATATTTCTATTTCCATTCTTTCCCTCAGGAGAAAGTAACTTATCTGGCAAAAACATATATGGGGGAATGTCCTCCTACTGCTGCAATTTCATCTTGCTTATTTTAAAATAAAAAATTCTGATCTGAATATTATCATAGAAAAGTTCCACAAATTCATTTTAACTGAAAAATTTTAAGTTAAAAGAAGTTGCAATACTAAATATTCTTTGGAAGAACTGATTAACTTCATATGATCAAATTCATCTGATTTCAGAATATAGCATTTTTAACACTTGCCAGTTTTCTCATTTCTATTATATCCAAAGGACAAAGACAGGATGTTTTCATTTCATCATAAGCAGTTATGGAATTCAGTAAATGACACTATTACCTCTAAAACTCAGGCTATGTTTTAAAAAAGTGTTTGTAATTTTATTTGTATATACTGTATATTTCTGACTTAAAAAAATAATCAAAATGCATTTCAGATTGGCTAAATGACTAACAGTTAACCCAGAAAATGAGAATCTAAGGGTGATTCAGATTTAGAGAAGAAGAAAAACACAACTACTGAGCAGTTCTGCATATTTTTTGCCTTAATATTTAAAGGACAAGAACACAAAACTTGTCCTTTATGGGAAATAAGAAGAAGTTTTTCAAATTTTCGCTCATCTTTTTATCAACAACTAGCAGAAAAGACAGCTGAACTTTTATAGGTGTGGAGCACCTACACACTCCCCAAATTTAACAGTTCCTATGTCTTTGGGCAAAAACAATGATTTTGAAAGATAAAATATCATTTTGAAGGAAAACATAGGTGTATGAGATCAACAATTATATCATACCACTTTCTTCAATAAAATAAACACTTAAGAGAAAATCTGTCTTCTGGTTAGATGCTGTTAGAAACACAGAATATGCGTGTATGACTAAAAATTGTCTCAAGAGGCCACTTTGGGCACATATGGAAGTCAGGGACACCGATGACTCTATTTTGACAGATGGCCAAGTCACATTTTTAATTACAAGGTTTTAAGAAATACCATGTAAATTCCTTAAAAAGATCCAAGAGCCTGGGGTCTTGACCACTTACTGTATTCTTACTGATAAAGCAAGGGGGATGGCAAATAACCCCTCAGTTCAGTCTCTGGGCTTCATATTTTTGATCCATAAGTTAAAGAGAACTATAGCAACTACATTATACAGTATGTTGCCAGGAGTAAACAAGGACTACAATGCATTGTAAGCAGTTAGACTAATGCCTAGCACATAATATTTATAAAAAGTTTGCTTTTAACAATTATTTGTACCAAATGGGATCCAATTCTATGTAGCTCACTCACTCCTTTTATTACAGATTCACTTTTTAAAATGGTGCATGGCTGATGAACAGTGACTGTGAAGGGATATGTGGGGAGGACTTGGTGAAGGGGGGAGCCTAGTAAACATAATGTTCTTCATGTAATTGTAGATTAATGATACCAAAATAAAAAATAAAAAATAAAAATAATAAATAAATAAATGGTGCATGATTTATTAGTTAAAGGTGGAAAGGGGAAAGATTTCCACTCTATTTTTCTTGCAAAAGAGAAATTTCTACATCCAAACTACAATGGAACTTGCATGAAGGTCAAAGCAAGGTCACATGGTTGAAATAAAAAGAATTTGGAGTGAAGAGACATGATACATATTTTGGGAATGGGGAAGATTAGATGAGAATATGTAATGGGAAAGCCACAGACCAAAGGGCCAGACAGTCTGTTTATTGGGGGCTAGGTTCTAACTGGAGATACCCAAGAGTCTGGGGAAGAAAGCCCACCACTTAAAATTGAAAATATTACTTTTTTCTTCATTTTAGTCAATCTATTTGAGAATTCATTTTCACACTGTGGTTGTCCATGTTTTCCTCATCTAAGTATGGGCCAATAACAAATGATGGTTACTGGCATATAACCAAGGGTGACTTCAGTGTAATTTAGTGACAATTTTATCTACTGAAGCCATTCAGGAGTTTCAAGCATCCTTTCTTGATGTGAGGTTGATCTGCCACTGAAACCACACAAGGTTGTCAGGATGTTTCACAAAAATTATCTAAATGGGCAATAAACTCACATACCACAACAAAATAGAATAATGCATCATAAAATAAATTACTTCTCCTTAATTAAATGCTGAGGAGATGGTTAAAAATAACCCAACAGATTTTAACAAGTCAGCTTTAAAGGTGCTCCAGAAAACCCACATTGTATTACATCGGAAATTTTGGGGACACATAAGACAGTGGTGATACGAGTTTATAAATTTAACTGTAGTTTCTTTTCAATTTAAAACTATTAAGTGGCTGACTATGCTGGGGTCCATGAAAAAACAAAAACAATAGATGGATAGCCCTACACAATAAACCACACATTTTGACAAAATGCAGAGGGAAATGGATCAGAGGGGCTCTAAAATCATCAGGCCCACGTTCCTGGCAGGACAACTCCATTAAGTATTTATTGAACACCTACAACATGCCAGGTCTTTCTAAATGACCACCGGCTTCTAAAGGTCTGCAGAGACAGATATCCTCCAACATTACTTAAATTGAGAACACGTGTATCTAACCAACTGAACCATTTCTATTAATTGATGGGGCTCTTGCTGAAATCACAGTCTGGGGCAAGAGGATCCTCCCCACCCCCACCCTCACCCCCTCCCCACCAAGGTCATGGTTTCATCTTGCCTTTTCATTTATCTTCACATAAATTCTTTTAATCTCTCCTTAAAAGTAAGTTCTTACCTAGAAGGCACATACAAATTTAAGGCTTGCCATTTTTTTTTCTTTGAAGGAGGAAAAAAAAAATCAAAAAACAAAAGGCCTGCATCTAAGTCACACAAGGAAAAAAGACCCAGGCCATCACAATTTAATGGTATTTTCAGTACTAATACCACTGGTGTGGAACTAAAGCAATAAAACCAGATTGCGTTTCCCCCTGAAACTACACCAAATGGGATTAAAACAAGAGCTCCCAATCTTGTCCAAACTTGTGATCCTGGGACTTACTCAAATTTGTGCACCATAGTTTAAAAGCTTGGAGCAAACAGCATGTCCTTTTAATGTTTCTCAGCTCATCATTCGATGAGTGACCTATTCAGAGTGGCAAACATGCAGGATTTATCTTCTTCCTACCGGGAAACGCCCCAAGAGAGCACTGTATGACTAAGAGAGCACGGTATGACTGTTGTAAGGGAGAGGAAAAAATTAGGCACTTACAGAGACGGTAGAGCTGGGCGTGTTTGTCCCATAGCCAGAGGAGGGGAGAGAAGCCAAGGACCAGCGGCGTCCATCAGTCCTATTGAGAAATTAAGATTCGCTTAGGCCAACGCTGGAGTACTGTTACATGGGAACCCCAGGGAAACTGAGTATTTTTAGTCAAACACATGACACAAACACAGTCAGTGAGGATGTGGAAATGTTCAGCAAGGGCCAGAGTAAACAAACATTATACAGCAGATTGACTTTTATTTAAACTGAATCAATACACCCAAACAAGTAGAAAGTGAATGCGTTGATCCATTTTATTGATCTCTCACTAACACACTTTGACAAAATGAATAGCAGAGCTAATTATAATGGTCAGGCTCAGCACATTCACGCAAATAAAAACAGAAAGGGAGGAGGAAAATCACCCTTATCTGGAAACTGATAACTTGAGCAGTGATCTTTGGAAGGGCCCGAGTTCCAGCACGGCACAAGGGCCTGTGGGGACTTTCCTGCATCTGAAAAACCTTCTGCTTATTATTTTCAGGGGAACAGGCCTCCTCATCACATCCAGGGAACAAGGGATCTGTGGGCTCACAGCTGGCTCAAGCCTTAAGTGGCAAAAAACACTTAGCACTAAGAGAGTAACTGACCTTATGCAGAGAATCTCTAAGCGTTCCTGCTTTCTGCCATGACCTGACTTCACAAAGGGCTCAGCAAAAGCCTCAGGCTGAGCTCACGGGAACGCAGCCGGGCTCCTGCCAGGAACAGCGGGAAAAGAAGGAGACTTGTCCTCGGGTGACAGACCCCAATGCACAGCGCAGAGCTGCCTGCCCGTCATAGAAGTCTTGAAGAGAGCAGTTTCTATCTCCAAATAGTGAGAGGATGGGGGCTTCTGAGTTGGACTCTGGTTATGAAGTAAGGTCATTACAAGGGCCTCAGAAGACTTAAGGAAGTAGTAGAGACAACACTGTTGCTAAGGCAAGAGGATACCAGAAAGCAAATTTTCTGAAATATCTGGCATTCCTGAGCCATTGCTTTTTTAACATTTTCTAGTAAGATGATGCCTTTAAAATCATAAAATACCATGAAAATGAATACATGCACATTTGCCAAGGGGAGAACAGGAAAAACACACATAATCAAGAGCTATACTGCATCCTTAGATGGAGTCTCATATTACAGACTGTGTGAAATTCATAAATACATTAACATCAAGTGAGAGAAAAAAGTGGACCAAATTTACCACAGACACATTCACAAGCAGTTGAAGGTAGGGAATTCTACAGCATTGGAACTGAATTTGAGAAATGTCACAACAGATGTTCATGTAAAAACCAACATTTAGTTTAAATTATAATCAGGGAAAAATATAATCATAGGCTTTCATGGATATTGTCTTAAATAAATTCAAATGGTCCACAAAGACAAGATAGAGAAATTCAAGCAGACAAATCACAGAAATACTACAATGTAATGATTTCAGTAAAGTTTACATGTCATTTCTGTGACCATGATTGGAGTACAATTGAATCAAATATGTTTTTTTAAAAAAGAAGCAAGATGCTTGTAAATATACCAGATAAAATGAGGAGAATTAAGCCTATGTTCTTTAAAAAATATTTTGAACAATTGAAAATGTTAAAAATTTAATAAAAATATACTTATAATAACATGCTTATAAAGACATCCAACTGTCAACTAAATGGACACAAGCTAGTCATGTTTTAGTTGGCTATTTATCACAGACCTGAAAATCCACACCTGCAATTTATATTTTAAACATCTCCAATTCTTTAAATTAGGAAAAGGATATGATTTACAAAGAATTATTCAGTCCATTCAATAGCAATTATCAGAAACTAGTCTCTGAAAGAGTGAGGGACACAATTTCCCCACCATGATTTTGTTTTTTTGATTCATTAACTCCCCTTTCCTTCAGGTATCAATGAAGGCATTTCAGATGAATAAACAATTCCAAGAGGAGGCGTGTTCATATTAGATCTGAAGCACAACTGACACTTGCTTACTCCAGAGAACACACTCCGAAAAGATGTTTTAACAAGAATATGGCTCAGTACTCTGCACAGCCATGTACCAGAATAACCCATGTCTCATGAAGTCCCCTCAGCTGCCCATGTCTGTTTCCTCAAATGGAACACACAGGACCACTGCATTTTCATTACCATGACATCTACACATCAGAGGTTACTACACATGTGGTATACAGCACTTCAGAGAGAGCATGCCCTGTTTTCAGGGAAGCTATCACACAAGTGCAGTTGGCATCCTACGAACAATCGTGTCTTTTCTTTGCAGTAACTACCGATAACATGTTATCTGAAGATAAGACTATATTCTTGCCAAAGCAACAAGGCTTTTTTGAAAAAAGAATTTTCTTTGTGGATGGAAATCTCCATGTTATATGAAATGAAAAAGGAAGAAGGAAAAAACATTAGATGAGAACACAGGATACAAAGAGGCTGGCAAAAAAAACATCATTTCAACACTACTCATAGAAATTTGGATTAATATGGTGTACAATAAAGAAAGAATGAAAAGTCCCAATATCAACCTGGCTATTATAACTGTATGAAAAGGAAACAATATTCTTTATTTAATTGTTACAGTCACCCTGGAGGGATACAGTTTATATTCTAATGATTTTGGAACAATTTGAACTATGCCAATATAATGTGACCAACGAAGGGAGTAACTCCCCACCAGTGATCAACAAGTATCTAATGACCTGAACTCAGCAGGCAAGAATGTTTAAGTCATTTGCCTGTGGAAACAGAATATATATACAGAGAGAGAGATTTTACCTGGTAAATACAGCTAGGCAACTAGGAGATACCCATGGCATTTTTTCAGGGCTCTGTATTTCCAATGAAAGTAAAAGCAATTTATAATGCAAAACCCTCTTCAACTTCTGGAAAAGGCAGAACAAAGTTACTACCCCCATCTTACCACCAAGGAAAAAACTGTTAAGTAACTCCACAATCAGATGGATTATACATCAGTGTCACAGTTATTAATGAGGTAATAATATGCTTCCTTGCTCCAGGCAAAATCTATGCTACCATGATGCTTATTTTCATTCTTTTATTTTAACTCAGTATTAAAAAATGAACCTGATGATTTTACACCAGATATATATTACATAACAGGGAAAGTGTGTGTCGTCATATTTTCCAGTTTGAAATTAAACTCTTATAGTACAGGAGATGTCCACTGGGGGAGCATTATCATATGGGATAAATAAGATCAGAACAGATTAATAAACCTGATCTTCATCTCTTCACACAAGAATAATTTTAAAAACAACAGAGTGGAACTAAATATACAAAATAGTGAAATGTGGGGGTCTCAAATGCCAGTACTTCTTAAAGGCTCAGAAATGCATACCAGATGGAAGGGAATGAAGAGCCATGAATGGAGTTTCCATGTTTCCTGAATGAAAATCAAGTTGAAAATGGAAGAGAAAGACACCAGATGTGACATAAAAATACACCGATTTGGGTTTTACAGCAAACACAAGGTTCTGTTTACTTGAATGAAAGTTTAAAAAGATGATCACTCATGTACTAATCTAAATTAATAGTTTCTGAAGAGTGTGGAAGGAGTTCCATCTGGAAACTCATGCAAAATGAACTAGAGGTCTCCAGTGATAATCTTCTGTCACGGTTTATGGTTTGTCAAAAATTAACATGTCTGGGGTTTTGTATAATTTTTTTATAGCATAGAAACCAGATTTATCTGTCCTCCAGTCACTCACTTAATTATGAGATTCTCTCCATTTTTATGAATCTGGCAGGACTGAGTTATTGCTGTCATATTTAAATGTATGCTGTAATGATATTTGCATTTTTCTTATTAAAGTAATTAAATGCACTCCCTTTTTTTAAAAAAAGGTGTTTTTTTAATGGTGGGTTCTTTTTATCAACTTTTATAAGATTTTTCTTTTTTTTCACTTAGAAGAGTAGCACCATCATGAATTAATATTCACTGGGCAAACATAGGCTTTGTGGACCAGTTAATTTTCACATTTTCTTTACGGCGCTTAACACAATGAGCTAAAAGAACAGAATCTGGAATTGGGGAAACTCCAGAAGTTCCCTGGAGATCATGTTTTAATTATTCTGGTGTTACCCCATGGTAGAGGGCCCGCACCTTACACCACTTGGGCATTTACCATATGGTGGGGAATGTGTGATGTTTACAAGGGAGATTAATTACAGAGATTCTGAAAATGCTGCCAATGGATCCTTTAGTCTGGATGTATTAATATAAAATGAATTTCATACTGGCAAATGGCAGTGAAGACGCTGCAGGTTTTGCTGATTAATAACATGTGTTAAAACAAAACTATTCTTTTAACCTTTGTATGTGTCTTTATTAGGCACTACTTTAATCTACTTGAAAATGTGGTTAGGTCTCTGAGGAAAATTTAGCAACTGTCTAGGGCATTCACATTATAGGCCAAATTATCCTGAATATTCAGAAACCTGGCTGAAGGGACATGGACATTTTGTTTCCTGTGTGTTTTTCCTGGGCAGAAGAGGACAGGTGTATATGTGACACGGTAAGGGTTAGGTTTGAATCTGATAGGGTAAAGTACATGGATTGCATGTATAGAACACGGGAGAAGTGCTGTGTAGACTCCTCTAACTTGGAGAAATCACAGAATATCCAGAACTGAAAAGGTTTGATATTAGAGCATATGCTCATTATCCCTAACACTTCCTCATGACTAAATGACCCAGATATGAGCCATGGATCTTTGATATTTGGTGCCCAATTCTAACCAAGATAGGAAAAGAAAAGATAAAATGTCCTATTGTTCATGAGTGGATATTTATATCTCAGGGGAATCACTAGATTGTTGGCTTGATGCTCAGAAGTAAAGAGGCACTTTAGAGTTTATACCTTGAGATCCCAAGAATGGTCATTTTATATTTTTAAAAAGTATTTAAAAAACAATAAAAACAAGTACACCAGTAGACAGAGATGAATCAAGTCCTTATAATATGACCTCAGATAATACAGTAGAAATCTGTCAAGCATTGTACAAGGCACTGTACTAGGCTGGGGAAATAGATGGCAACAGGCATATCCTGCTCTCACTGGGAGCCCACCATCTGGGAGTGACCAAGAGAGGTACGTATAACTCTAGAATGAGGCAGAAAGTATTATTAAACCTGTCTAAGCAGGAATGTGTATAACAAAGTCCTATGGTGGCCTACCTTTGGAAGGCGCTGCCGAGGAGAAGGCTCTATGTGATAATAAGCAGGACCTCAAAAGACAGAGGGCAGGGATGTAGGGGGCATAAGAGTCGGGGGGAGGGACTCTCTACATAACACGTTATTATTCCACTCACAGGAAATGCTTACCTCCGTGCAAATGAAAAATGGGCTGAGGCACTGGGGGAGAAATTTCTTGGACTATCTTGAGGGCTATTTCCTGCAGAGAGAAAGAGGAAAATAATTTACAACAAGATTTTGTTTTTGTATCATTATCCACATTCAGAATCCTCTTCTCTTTAGCAACACATTTCTGTACACTTTTGTAAAATGTCCACTCTTCAAAGATGTTTCTTTTACTTGGAGCAGGGACCGGGCTGGGGGTGGTGCTTAAGTTCCAGCACGGCTTTCCAAGGGTGCAAGATAAATGAATAAACACATTTCCCTACATCCCCAACCAGCAGTCTTCCACATATCTAATAATGTAAATATCTCCATCCTACAGAATAATGAATATACAAATGTCTTGGTTCTGACTCTTTCAGTCATTAACATTCAAAGAGCAAGATGGATGGGGAAGTCTATGCTTCAGCTGGGGAGGGGGACTGGCTTTCTATTTTAGGGAGGCAGCCTTAGTATTTTTTATTTATGGAAACTGAGTAAATAGTCTGAATTCTTGAAAATAAATCCTCAGACTCCAAAGTACTTATTTTAAAAGTAGAAATATTAGAACTAGTCATAAAAGACTAGGAAGAACCCAGCAGTTTGGACTTATTTCTCATATGACCCAGATCTATCTCAGCATGGCCAGAGCGGTCCAGCAGGATCAGCCCTCATCAATATTTTCCTCAACAGTCCCTCTGTTCCTAAGCAGCTGTGCTGTGACTGGCCAGGCAGCCTTTAAAAGCCACAGCCACACAAAGGTTGGCTTCAGGGTGTTCTCCCCAAGTCCTTCCAAGGCAGGTGGCGCTCAGGTTGCTCACTATAAGGAGGGCAGCTCCTCGGGGGCTTGTTACTTTCTCCATTAGAACACTCAACCTGCTGCTGATCATTGAGAAAGCTTGGCAGGCAGCTGGTGAGGGGAAGTTCAGGACACTCCAGTCCACTCTGCTTCCCTCTGCATGTTTAATTAGATTGGCAGAATTATCTGAGGACTGGCCAGAAATGTAGTTGGTTTAAATAAGGAAGTGAGGAAAGCTTGCAAAATAATCCTGTATGTTCTTGGAACACAGAAAATAAATCAGGAAGGCATGTTTAATCCTTAAGGGCAAGCCAGTTCCCACATTACTGACTTCATAGTGGAAGTGACAATTGTAATTAGGTGTAAGGAATACAAGATTGCACATTAAAGTCAGTACCTAGCTGTAAAGGTAAACAATTTACTACCTGTGTGCAAAAAGAATAGACTACCCACATTAAAGAGGGCAAGTTTAGTATTACCTTGAGGACTTCTGGACTGACTACACTTTTACTGAAATTTTTCAATTAACTTAAGGTTGCAAATTTTATAATGATGTCTTCAACAGATGCTGTTAACTTTATGACAGACAGCGCAATTAAAGCCATTTAACTGGGAAGCGCTGAAAAGCCCATTTCTTTATGGATAGAGAATCAAGAAACATTTTTCCCTCTGCTGCAATGAAATTTATCATGCCTTTGCATCTGTTGTCCTTGGACCCCTGGAGAAATGGATTCTGCTGTTGCCATCCAGTGCTCCAGGACTCTTTTTGTCCATTTATTTACACAGCTAAATTCAGTTCTTTCAGCTTCTCTCAACAGCCTTCATTCCCCACACCTCCTTCCAACTTAGCTTGTACATCATTCTTTATATTTCTTAAAAGGTCTTAATTTTAACTTAAGATGGTTAAACATTTTGTTTCCTAAAGGGAAACAAATCTAATGCCAGAAAGATTTGTGTGGTTTTTTTTGTTTGGAAGAAATGTTCACTTTGCCCACACCGCATGTAGAACAAACTATGGGTAAATCATTACGAGAAACAAAACAAATGACTGCTGGAAGCCAGGGCATTTTGAGAACAATCCCTGCTACCCTATTCAATGAGAATAAATCATAAAGGCCATTGAAACTGGGCACCAAATTCTTAGCCCTGTCTTCTTTGTAAGGAGAACACTATATCTGGAGATTAGAATGAGATCAACTAGAAGGACTAGAGGGAGCTTATTAAATATTTTAAAGAATCTGAAGAAGGCAGAAACAAGGAACTAACTTAAACCGTTTTCACTTTTAGAGATTTTAATGAGTGGTCCTCAGGAAGCCATGTAGCATCTTATAATACATGGGGACCCATTGCTTTGAGGATGAATGGGCAAAGAGAGAGATAGAGAGGTAGGTTAATTTAACTCCGCTCTCTAAAAACAAAATAAAACAAGGCTGCCCTTAACTATTTCTAATCTTCAGGTTTTGCCTTCCCATTTTGTGCTTCCCTGGCCCATCAGTTTAAAAAATCACCCCCCCCCCTTTTTTTTACATCTATTCCTACACTGCTGTAGAATCAAACACAAATTTCTACTTCTTCAGCTTTCAGACTCCAGAGCCACCTATCATCTTACTAACAGATCTCTCCTGATTGCATGTCAGATGGAGGAGCTAGGTTGAAATGCAAATGTAAATGCATGCGCACACTTACATGCACATGTGTGTGCACACGTACATACATACCCCATGTACCACAAAAGGCTCTATGTGCAGTGGGACATTACAGAAAATGAACTAGAATACCTGATCATTCCTTAGAGACTACAGCTTAATTTGAGGACAGTTGAGCAAGACTGAGATAAGAGAAGAAAAGGAAGAACTTGAGGAAGGGGATGGAAACAACCCAAACACAGCGAACACGCAGGGCAATGCAGCCGTGGCAGGCTTTACTGCAGCAGGGAAAGCGAGCTGAGTAAGGCGAATGAGTTTTGAACTATGTCTATTGACACTAACAACGGGGAGGCCTTCAGAGAGGTTTGGAGGTGAGAGGGAGGCGCTAGAGATTTTAAGCAAGCATGAACGTGCTGGGGGGACAGGGCAGTGGCTAGATTAGGCCAACAGAGAAGATATTTCGGTGAGCAAACCACACATAATTCATAATGGATTAGAAATTGAGTCATGAAAAAGGTCAGAGACTAAAAGGGACAGACGTTTCCAGTGCGGGTAGGTTGGGAGCTTGACTGCCTCATTAATAGGGAATTTGGGAGAGCAGTGGCATGCAAGTGATAGGAGATGAAAAGGGTAGGTGAATATTCTGTAGATATCTGTATCATTTATTGTAGAAAATTCCTCAATTTCCCTTAGGGAGAAATTACAAGATGAGCAGATTAGGCAGACAGAAGTCAATCTTTGAAGTCTGTGTTCTTTTTTGAAATAAAAATTGATTTCTATGTTATCTACTTGGTTTCCAAAGACTTAGGGATGTTGTTTGTTATACAGTGATCAAAAGTCATTAATTTAGAACAGATCAAATTCAAAAGCATGCCTTACATATTCTTAACTCCGAGATGAGGACCAGGCTGCTGTGGTCATGCACAGCACTTCCCCAGGACTGAAACCAGAGCCCTATATGTGACCTTCACTGCTCACAGCACTGCTCTCTGAATTCATCCATCCATCTGCAAAGCAATACCTGAGAGACTCTCAAATGAAAACTGGTGCCAGTTAATTCTCTGCCCATATGTGCAGTACTTGCTTATAACTCAAAGCCTGCTGCTCCCAGGGATTTGCTAGCTCTTGGATGTTTGAGTGCTAGGACAATTTACAGACTGTTGGTATCACTGCTGATGTTTCCAACCCGGTACAGTCAACCTCAGTAGTGGTCAGGCATTAGGTAGGTAATTAACGCCACAATCCCCAGGAGGAGGTAGTCTGGCTAACACATGTGCAGCATATCAAAAGGTACTTTTCCTAAGGGCACTGCACAGGGTGCCTCATTTAGAGGCATTTATTGTTAAGAAAGAGATTTCCAGATTAATTAAATTGTTTGATTGCTTTGTAATTAGGTTGGAGAAGTCCTGTGTCTTCACCACAGAGAAATGATCTGCAAATCTTTTTAAAAGACATATGCTATACCCACTATAGATTATTGATGTGCTATTAATAGCTGTCTGTTCACAAAATGATAGCTTCTGGTTGCCTTGATTTTCTCTCAGGACAGAGGGAATCTGAGAATTAATGGTAATTGCCATTTGAAACTAGTGGCAGAGCAAAGAGTAAGCTCCTGTTTGAATCCTTGTTGTCATTATTTGATGATCCACTTAAATGAGTATTAAGGTTGCAAATTTTATAATGATGTCTTTAACAGATGCTGTTAACTTTATGACAGACAGCGCAATTAAAGCCATTTAACTGGGAAGCGCTGAAAAGCCCATTTCTTTATGGATAGAGAATCAAGAAACATTTTTCCCTCTGCTGCAATGAAATTTATCATGCCTTTGCATCTGTTGTTCCTTGGACCCCTGGAGAAATGGATTCTGCTGTTGCCATCCAGTGCTCCAGGACTCTTTTTGTCCATTTATTTACACAGCTAAATTCAGTTCTTTCAGCTTCTCTCAACAGCTTTCATTCCCCACACCTCCTTCCAACTTAGCTTGTACATCATTCTTTATATTTCTTAAAAGGTCTTAATTTTAACTTAAGATGGTTAAACATTTTGTTTCCTAAAGGGAAACAAATCTAATGCCAGAAAGATTTGTGTGGTTTTTTTTGTTTGGAAGAAATGTTCACTTTGCCCACACCGCATGTAGAACAAACTATGGGTAAATCATTACGAGAAACAAAACAAATGACTGCTGGAAGCCAGGGCATTTTGAGAACAATCCCTGCTACCCTATTCAATGAGAATAAATCATAAAGGCCATTGAAACTGGGCACCAAATTCTTAGCCCTGTCTTCTTTGTAAGGAGAACACTATATCTGGAGATTAGAATGAGATCAACTAGAAGGACTAGAGGGAGCTTATTAAATATTTTAAAGAATCTGAAGAAGGCAGAAACAAGGAACTAACTTAAACCGTTTTCACTTTTAGAGATTTTAATGAGTGGTCCTCAGGAAGCCATGTAGCATCTTATAATACATGGGGACCCATTGCTTTGAGGATGAATGGGCAAAGAGAGAGATAGAGAGGTAGGTTAATTTAACTCCGCTCTCTAAAAACAAAATAAAACAAGGCTGCCCTTAACTATTTCTAATCTTCAGGTTTTGCCTTCCCATTTTGTGCTT